GGGGACAGAGGTGGTGCTGGAAGATTGAGAGGAGATGGTTTGAAATAGCTTCTGCGGAGAGTGGAATATAGAATCAATTAGAGTGAAGCAGAAGTATTGCCCTGTGGTGGTGAGACACCCAGTGGAAACTACATGACATATATCTGTAGTATGCCTAGTTAGCATAGTTGTGTGACTTACACCAGCTTTGTTCAGCAACATGAGTTAGAGCAAAGAAAGGAGATGAGGGTAATCCAGTGTTGGGATTTCACAAGTTATGGATAGCAGCAAAACAAGAGAACAAGGAATTTGAGAGTAGAGAACAGAGTTGAACTGGTTAACTAAAGGGTGGAGATTGGGAAGAGAAAGAAGTGAAGCCAGAGCAGATGGTCTGGTAAAGTACCAACTGGGAGATGGATTGAAAGATATAGTGAGGATGAAAAATTAATTTAGGTGGTTTCAGAGAGAGGGGGAAGAAAGGAAGTAACGGTAACAAGTATAGACACCTATTTCAAGGAGTAAGAAATGGAAGAGAAATATAAAATGACAGTGTTTAGTAAGGGTTCTTTTCAAGATAAGGGAGAGTTGGATATGTTAATTGTATCAGCAAGGAAAGAATGAGAGAGAGAGAGAGAATATAATTATGAAAAAGATGGAATAACATGTTTGGACAAAGGAGTTTCAGAGTTGAACATGGAAGTGAAACATTTTTGAGTAACAGAAAAGATGTAACCACTCCTGAGTGTAACTGAGATGGAATGGAAAAATAAGTCATGATGTTCAGAAGACAAAGAAACTCAAGGTTAGAGTGTTTAAGGGAACATCAACACATATGCTGAAATATCCTTATATAGGGGTGGGAAGCGGGCTGAGGAGGAAAATTATATACACTTGAGAAAGGAGGAAGAATGACATTGGGGCTGGTGGTTAGCAGCCACCAGAAACAAGAGTGGGTGATAGAGTGACCCTGAAGGAGAATTTACTGAGTGACGGTGGTAGAGAGAGAGTCAGGAGATGGCAGTGAACAACAAGAAGCATTTCAACTTCTCCATGACCTATTATCAGGGGATATGAGAGAAGGTTCCACCAGAACTGTATCTTCAAGCACAGGTTGGAATGTTGAATATGTTTTAGGTGATTTGTTCAGATATGAATTGAAGTAGATGGCATATTCCAACTTTGAGATGCTCTGATTCTATAAAGTGTTAAAGCCACAATTCAAATCCAGACCTCCTGACTCCCAGTCCAATATGCTATTTCACTATGCAATGCTAACTCAAATTAATTGATCAAGGTTCTCCATGTGCTTGGTAGTAAACCAAATCATTAACTCAGCTTATCAAGCTCAATAACACTGACAAATTCTTGCTCATAAATTAACAATGTTTATTTTGATACTTATGTGCAAGCAATGTACTAGATGCTAAAGAAAAATTCAAAAAATTATCAGACATGGGGCCAGAGAGGATTCTGGCAAGATGGCAGAGTAGGTCAGAAAATTCCAAACTCTCCAGACCCCCTCCACAAACAAGACAAAATAGCACCTCAAGGGTGAATGTAAAGCAGCAAAAACAAACAAGAATTGGGGCTGAACAGTGGTCCTCCTGGGACAATTGGAGAAGATCAGAAGAAAGAAAGAAGAAAGGCCAAAGTGAAATGTAAACACCTCCAGGCTAGCTCCACTGAAACAACAAGCAGTGAGCCCTTGTGGCAGCTGGGTTGGGAGGTAGCCTCAACTTCAGCCACAGGAATTTTCACCTCCCAGACACCGTGGTAAGTTGGGCATCTGAGCAGATGAAGACTGAGGGAGCCTCTGCTGACAGGGGCTCCAGGTCCAGCTGGGCTGACGAGGCACAGTCCTGGGCAAGAAGGAAGCAACACATGCCTGGTGAGTGCAGAAACAGTGGGGCAGAGACACTACTGGCTATGGGTAATTACAGAAGGGTTGAGTTCTTGGTCTTGGTTCCAGGCCAGAAGGGAGAACTGAAGGTCATAGCCACTGGGGGGTTCTCAGGAAGCAAAAGCATTTCCAGCATAGAGTGCCTGGGGGCCCTAGCTATGACTTGGAGAGAAAAAAGAGCACAGAGGTTGGATCAAAGGACAAAAGCTCAAAAAATAACAGTAAGTAACGACCTGAGGCCACAGGTACCATCCCCCAGCATTAGATGTGATTATAATAATAAGCAGCTAATTTTTTTAAATGAGCAGGCAAAATAGGTATAACCCAACCATAGTTACTATGGGAATAGAGAAGATGGGCATTCATCTTCAGAAGAGGATACTGAAGCAAAAAAAAAAAGCCTCTCCTATCCTAAAGAGTAATGTCAAATGGTTGAATTCATAGAAGAACTCAAAAAAGACGTCAAAAATCAAATAAGAGGGATTGAGGAAAATTTAGAGAACAGATCAAGAAGAGAAAACATAAGAATAATTGGACTACCTGAAAGCCATGACCAAAAAAAGAATCTTGATACAATTATACAAGAAATAATTAAAGAAAATTGTCCTGAAGTGTTAGAACAAGAGAGGAAAGTAGAAATAGAAAAAATCCACCAATCGCCACCTGAAAGAGATCTTTGGAGGAAAATTTACAGGAATATCATAGCCAAATTCCAAAACTCCCAGGTTAAGGAGAAAATATGACAAGCAACAAGAAAAAGCAATTTAAATATAGCAGAGCCACAATTAGAATTACACTAGACCTAGCAGTGGCTACACTAAAAGACCACAGGTCTTGGAATACTACATATAGAAGAGCAAAAGAACTCGGGTAATGGCCAAAAATGTCATACCTAGCAAATTTAAGTATAATCCTGAACAACAGAAAAAGGACATTTAATGAATTGACAGACTTTCAAGATTTTATTGCAAAAAGACTAGAATGAAATAGAAAATTTGATATACAAGATCCAAGAGAAATATAAGATGAACATCAAAGACTAATTACAAGGGACTCAATAAGGACAAATTTTTTACTTTTTATACGTGGAAATGTAAATTGTATGTCTAAAATTGTCATTAGTAATTGGGTAGTTTGAAAGAAAGAATGGGGTAGAGCTGAGCATGATGTAATTCTAAAAAGCAAAATGATATAGGAAAAGCTTTAAAAAAGTAATTATACAAATGAGGAACGAGAAGAACAACTAGGGTAGGGGAGTGGTGGGTAGTTCTGGAACCCTACTCTCATTGGGAATGAGTAAAAGAGGGAACATTATGTGTGTGTGTGTGTGTGTGTGTGTGTGTGTGTGTGTGTGTGTGTGTGTGTGTGTGTGTGTGTGTGTGTGTGTCTAGAAGAGCATAAAAGTCTTCCAAATTCAGAAAGAAATAAGAGGGCAAGGGGATACAGAGGGAGGAGAGGATAAGGGAGGTATAAAAGGATGTGTAGATTAACAGGAATGGGATAAAGAGGGAACAACATATATTTAGGAGGGTATAAAAATCTTCTAAATTCAGAAGGAAATAAGAGGGTAAAGGGATAGGGTGGAGGGAGAGGACAAAGGAAATATTCTTGGAGCGGGGGTATGTTAAGGAATAGGAAGAGAAAGTAGTGGTAGAAGTAAAGTAGAGGAATGAGGAGGGATACGAATAGGGTGAAAACAGTAGTGAGGAAAATAGGAAGAAGGAAAATATACAAGTAATTAAATGTGAATGGGATTAATTTACTTACAAAATGGAAACTGATAGTGGATTAAAAGTTTGAATTCAACAATATGTTGTTTTTTGGAAACGCTATAAAAAAATAAGAGATACACACAAATATAAAATAAAAGGTAAGGATTAAAATTTATTATGTAAAAAAGCAGGAATAGTCATCATAATCTCAGACAAAGTTAAAGCTAAAGTCAGATTTAATCAAAAGAGAAAAACAGGGAAACTACACAATGTGTCAACAATATTAATCAATACTTATAGACCACATAAAATAGACAGTAAATAAATATATGAGAGTATACCTGCCAAAAGACACAGCAACTATACAAATATAAACACAAAACACCTTTTATACAGAGTTAGATCTAAATAATTTAAGTAATATTTACTGTGCATGGGCACGTAAACCTAACATAATAAAAAAAAAGACAATTTTATCTAATTAATCTATTTATACAATATCATCCCAATTAAATTATTTTAAAATTATCTTACTGAGTCAGAAAAAATAATAACAGTTCATTTGGAAGAGCAGAGGGTCAGGAACTTCAAGGAAACCAGGGGAAAAGACGCAAAGGAACTAGATTCAATAGTATCAGACCTTAAACTATCTTATAAGGTGAGAGCAGTGTTGAAGCATAAAATGGATAATTTTCATTATTTTAAAATAAAATTTTCCTGTATAAAACCTATGCAGCCAAGAATACAGGGAATGAGAAAAAAGTGGGAAAAACTCTCACAATCTTCCAGAGAGAATAAGATGAGCAATTGTCATAGAGTGCTGGACTTAGAGTCTCCAAGATCTGAATTCAAATCCCATTTCTGATATGTGCTAGGTGTGTGAGCCAACTCAGTTTACTCATCTGTAAAATGGAGAAATACTTGCAGGACCTATTTCATTGGATTGTGGTGAGTTTCAAATGAGAAAAGGAGATACTTCTTAGACCTTAACACACTATATAAATAAGTTATTATCATTATTATTACTTTCAATTAGGTGAATTATCTGGTCACTGGAAAAACACTTACCTAAGAATCAAAAGGTCTAAGTTTTAGTAGTAGTTTTGTGACAAACTTCCTGTGGGACCTTGTGTAAGGCCCCTAACTTCTCTACGCTAAGTGATAACAACTGCCCTACTTATCTCAAAGAATTATTATGAAGAAAAATGTCATAATTAGGGGGAATCACTGAAAGCTGGAAAAGACCCTCAAGAAATGTGAAAACATTTAGAAAAAATTTAGAGATACAGGAACATGAAGTATTAACATTATCATTCCCATCATTAAAAACAGGAATAAAAAAATTCAGAATAAATTTTAAAATTCTGATACTATATACAATTATTCAGTTAGGTTCAAGAAAAACCTACCAGTTCCATGGAATGTTGTGCCAACAACCCGAACACAGCTTGGTACTCGAAGGTCCCAGAATCTAACAGTCTTATCTTGGGAACCAGATGCAATCATCCATCCACTCCAAGTATAAAGTGCTAAAATATGACCTGTGTGTAAAAAAGATCATAAACCAGGTTAGTAAAATAAATCTCCCTCCAACACAGATAAAAACTTAGTACTCAGTAATTGGGAATGGATAGGACTATTTTAATTAACTGATTTACCATGTATCTCAAATGTGGTTAAACAATTTTCAAACAACTACAATGTAATAATAAACACAACCCTACACAAAAATCCTACATTCTGCTGTCCTACCCAGGTGTGGAGGTGATACTGTGTAGTTGAAGGTGATGCCACCAGAAAACTGGAAGGGTTTTAAATATCAGTCTGGGGATGGACAGCATATCTATTACTGGAGATTGAGCCTAGGTAGTTCACCTGATGAGTTATCCCATGATGATTTTTCTTAATCAGAATCATGAAAGCCACATACTAATATACTGATGGGTGATGATCTAAATCAGCAGAGTGAATAACTGCACTGATGACAACCTAGATCTTTGAAGTAATACATATAACACTAAACATAATGTTAACAGAAGATACCGTGACAGAATGGATAGTGCTAAACTAAAAGTCAGAAAGTCCTCAGGTTGAATCCTGCCTCTGACACTTAGTTGTGTGATCTTGGAAATCTACTTCATCTTTCTGTGCCCCAGTTTATTCATTTGTAAAATGGGGATAATACTTGTATTCAGCCTCATAGAAATGGTGTGACACTCAAATAAGATTATGTATGTAAAATGATTTGTGAACTTTATTTATTTATTTATTTATTTTTTATTTTTAGGCAATTGGGGTTAAGTGACTTGCCCAGGGTCACACACACAGCTAGTAAGTGTCAAGTGTTTGGTCTGAGGCCGGATTTGAACTCAGGTCCTCCTGACTTCAGGGTCAGTGCTCTATCCACTGCACCACCTAGATGCCCCTGATTTGTGAACTTTAAAACACTATAGTAGTAGTAATAGTAACAATATTATTCATGAGTTAGTCAACAAGCATTACTGTCTTATTGCCAGACACTGTGCTAATGCTGGGGATACAAAGCAAGAAAAAACTAGTCCCTGATCTCAAGGAGCTCACATTCTAGTAGAGGAGACACGTAAACAATTAGGTATACACATGATCTACATGGAGTGGATGGAATGGGTGAGAGGGCAAGTTGGGGGAACTGGGAAGACGTCCTGAAGAAGGTAACATTTGAGCCAAGGCCTGAAAGAAGCCAGAGAAGATAAAAGGTGAAGGTGAAGATGGAGAACGTTCCAGGAATGAAGAGCAGTTAGCACAAAAGTGCAAAGACTGAAGATAGAATGCCCTTTGTAAGGAAGGGCAAGTAGGCCAGTGTGGCTGGATTATAGCGTACATGGAAAGAAGTCAAGTGTAAGAAGCCTGGAAAGATAAGAAGGGGCCAAGTTTTAAAGAGCTTTAAAAGACAGAGAGCTTTCTGTTTGAACCTAAAGGTCATAAGAAGCCACCAGATTTCACTAAGTAGGAGATGACACGGTCAGATCTGGATTTTAGGAAAATAACTTTGGCAACTGTGTAGAAGATGGATTGGAAAGGGGAGGGACGTTTTGTTGTTATTTAACTTCTTTACAGTCAGGTCTGGCTCTCTGTGACCCCATTTAGAGTTTTCTTGGCAAAGATACTGGAGTGGTTTGCCATTTCCTTCTCCAGCTCATTTTACAGATGAGGAAACTGAGGCAAACAAAACAGGATTAAGTGACTTGCCCAGGGTCACACTAGTAAGTGTTTGAGGCCAGATTTGAACTCAGGAAGATGAGTCTTCCTAATTCCAGGCCCAGCACTCTATCCACTGTACCATCTAGCTGCCCGTCCTTAAGGAAGGACTTAAGGGAGTCCAATTAGAAGGCTACTGCAATAACCCTAGTGAGATGTGGTAAGGTCTTGAAATAGGGTGGCTGTTGTATGAGTGTAGGAAAGGATATATAAATGCAAGAGATGTGAAGGTAGAAATGACATGATGTAGTCACAGAATGGATAGATGGAATGAAAGTAAATTGAGAATGATAGTGAGGTTGCAAGCCTAGGAAACTTGGAGAATGGTGGTGCCCTCAACAGTAAAAGGGCAAGAGTAAGAGGGGAAAGACAATGAGTTTTGTTTGGATGCGTTGAATTTCAGATGCCTACCAGACATCTAGTTGGAGATGTACAAAAGGCAATTGGTAATGAAAGACTGGAACTCAGGAGAAAGACTAGGGCTGGATATATAGACCTGGAAACCATCTGCATAAAGATGATAACTGAATAATCTTTCTTTAGTCAAATTGTACTCTAGGATCTCACAATGCTTCATGACAATTATTCATTATAAGCACCAAATACTGATAGCAAAACACACAAGCCTAATTAATGGAAATTAATTAGAAAAAAATTAACACTACAGCATTAGTCAAATTTCACAATTTAGAATAGTAAAGTATATCTTAAAATGGAGAAATCTCTTCAGATGAAATGTACTCATTATCACAATTGCACAATAAAATAGACATCAAAGTAATTTCCCTTATTAAACTTACACGCTAAGGATTTGTTATATGATTCTATGATGCCATCATCAGGGGGGAAAAGGACCTAACTGTACAAAATCATTCTAGTTTGCTATTCATCATAGCAAAAAAAAAACCCAAAACCTATTTGTTGTTTTTGTTTTGGAAAGCTTCTGAGAGAGCTGGCTAAAGACCAGCAGGTCAGCAGCAGGGGCTACACTCTAACCCTCCTCTCCAGACTTTGTCTATCATGCCAAAGCAGAATCTTCCTTCTGGAAATTCACTCCACACTTAAACTTTTCATCCTAGAAGTACATACTGTTCCAGTGGCTCCTTCCTCTGATAGGCTGGCTCTTCCCATAACTCCATTTTAACAAAAGTGCATAAGCCAGCCATGTCTTCATTCTTCTCTAGGCTCTACTCCTGACTCTCTGAATTTACTCTACCATCCACCCTTACTTTCTCCACCCCCCCTCCCCTTTCAGCTTCTTTTTATATCATCTTCCCCCATTAAAATGTAAGCTAAGAACTGTGTTTCTGTTTCTATTTTTGTTTCCAGCTGTCAGCAAAGTGCCAGGTACACAGTAAGCATTTACTCAAATTGCATGTCCAGTACATACCTTACACTCAGTATGTCCAAAACAAAACTCATTATCTTTCCCCCTAAACCTTCCTGCCCTCCTAAACTTCTGTATCAACACCATCCGGGCCCCAGTCCCTCAAGCTCACAACCTAGGAGTAATCATAGACTCCTCACTAAATCTCACAGCACCCACTCTCCTCCCACCTCATCCAAGCTATTTTCAAGGCCTATTGATTTCACTTCTGCCACATCTCTCAAATATGCCCCTTTCTCTCCTCTGACCCTACCCCTACTCTTGCAGGCCCTCATCACCTCACACCTGGATTACTGCAATAGATGTCAATGACTCAGCCTTAAGGCTCTTCTCACTCCAATCCATTCAGTCACTAAAGCACAGGTCTCTCTCTCTCTCTCTCTCTCTCTCTCTCTCAACTCCAGTGGCTCCTTACTGCCTCTAGGACCAAACACAAAACCCTGTGTTTGATATTCAAAGCCCTTCATAACCTAGCTCCCTCCTACCTGTGAAGTCGTCTCATACGTTATATCCTACCAGGTACTTTCTGATCCAGTCACACTGGCCTCCTGGTTGTTCCATGGCCCTGGAAATCTTCTCTGGCTTTCCTCCATGCCTGGAATGCTTTTCATCCTCTACTCTAATGACTTCCCAGGCTTCCTCTAAGTCAGACCTGCACAACTTAGCAGTAGGTAAGGGCCAAAATTAAAATAGTCTAAACTTCTTTGGGCATCACATAGGTTAAACTAGAGACAGACTGACGATGGTTGGTTGCCATGGGTCACATGACCAACAGAAATGAGTGTGAAGTGGCAACTACATTTTTTGCTGGCCTCTGGAAATGGCGGGTAGTAAGGCGCCCATGGGCTGTATGTTGTACAGGCCTGCTCTAAGTCCCAACTAAAATCCTACCTTCTATTGGAAGCCTTTCCCAGCCCCTCTTAAATCCAGTGCCTTCCCTCTGTTAATTACTTCTTATTTATCCTGTATATAGCTTGCTTTGTATATGTGCTTGCACGTTGTCTCCCTATTAGATTGTAAGCTCCTTGGGGGCAGGGACTATCATATGCCTCTTTTTGTGCTTTAGCACAGTGCCAGGCACATAGCAGGCACTTGATAAATGTTTACTGATAAATATTTACTGATTACTAAATGCTTACTGACTTAACTTGAAACAACCCATGTGTCCAACAACTGGGGAATGACTAAATAAATGATGGCATAAGAAAATAATGAAATATCATACTATAAGGAAGGGCAAATATGAATAAAAGCTATATTAAGACTAATATGAAGTAATACACAGTGAATAAAACAGAAATGAAATCCCCAAAACACACCATGACTACAACCATGTAAACAGTATAAACAACAGCAACAAAATCTAGAAAAATACACAAACGAAAAAAACGCATGATTTGGCTGCTATCTTGTTAAAGTTAATATATGAACTTTTAAAAACTGTAAATAATAGAAGTTTTCAGTTATATATATGTATATATATATATATTTTTAAATTCTAGTTTGTGTTTTAATGTTTTCTAATAGTTACCAACTTTATAATACACTTTTAAAAACTGGCTCTCATAAAACAACTAAAATCAAGCATTACATACCAGTGTGACCACTCAGAGCATGGAGACCCTGTCCTCGCTGACAATCTGTTGTATAAATATTACAATCTCCTGCTCCCGCACTTATCAAAATTGCTCCACCACTTTCTGGACCCTCCATAAAAGCCAAATCTCTAATGGTCCCATCATGCATACTGAATTCCAGATCAGGTCCTGAAACAGTAATTTAAAATTTTGAAAAAAGAAAAACATAAGAACTATGGCATAGGGGCAGCATGATATGAGGAAAAGAACACTGATTTTGAAGTCAGATGATTAAGATTTAACCTCAGCTCAGCTATTACCTGCTTAACCTTATGGAAATCATTTAACTTGTTTTGGGTACCTTTTTCCTCGCCTGAGGAGGCTGCGCTAAATCTTAGGAACTCAAGAAAGGCTGCTGCATATTATTGTGATAACTTGAGATTATGAAATTATCTTAAATCTGATACATCCCACTACACATAGCTGGGGTTCTCCAAGGTTTGTTTGTTTGTTTGTTTTTCATTTAGAATTAGATTTTACTATCTAATTCATTTCTCTGGATAAATTATAACAATATAAACTTGAGAAATCAAGGCATTAATTTTTTATAATTGTTAAAGAAAAATTATACAATAGCAAAAGATAAATTGTTAATTGGGAAAAAAAGACTCAAATTAACAGCACTTTTTGATTTGACCAAACTTTTATGGCTAGTCCTCATAATCATTTTATAATAGTATTATTGATCCTCTTTCCTCTTCCTCCCTCTTCCCCTCCTTTTGCACCTCACTGGAACTGAAAGCTTAAAGGACTGGTGCTACATTCTTAGGTCTCACCCAAAAGAAGAAAAGAAAAGAAATATTAATCAGATGTTAACTAATTCCTTATTAGTACAATCCTGGGTAATTATTTAAAACAATATACCCAGGCTCAAACAGCATCTTGTCAAATTTAAAGTTTATGAATGAAAAAAGTCATTGTTACATGAGCATGACATAAGTTATTAAAATATCAAAACTATGTGTTAAGTTCTTTAATTTCAATTAAAATAAGCATAAAATGAAGTGTTTTGTCAGAGGCACAATGGAGAAATTAAAAATATACAGACTTACTATAAATTCTTGTGCCCTACCTGTTGCATTACAAGTCTCTGCATTAAAAGGTAGTACTTTGACATATTTGTCATTAGAGCCAGTAGCTAATAATTGCCCACAAGGACTCCACGCCACACAGTAGATTGATCCTTTATGATGCTTATTCCTCTTAAAACGTACCACTGGCTGCTTGGGAGAGCTATATGCACTAGAAAGAGAAAAGTAACTATGATGCAGTAACTACAATATACACTGTAAACTTTCTCCTTGTTCATAAATTGTTCATAAATTTGTGAAATAATGTTTATTAATACATTAAAATTCATGTCTGGTTTAATATTGCTCCTCAATAATGTAAGGGTCAGAACATTCCTACCACATCAGACCTGACTTTAGTTGACAATTTTTTTTGATATTTCAAAATCTAGGTGCCTTTTTAAAGTTTTCTTTCATTCACATGTAGCTTAAAGGCTCACTGAGCAAATATGGTATACTATGAAAAATTATAAAAGTAATAATTAGCATTTATATAGTACTTTAAGGTTTGTAAATCACTTTACACATGTTCTCATTTGAGCTTCACAACAATCCTGTGAGGTAGGTGCTATTAGTATCCCCATTTTATAGATGAAGACACTGAGACTCAGATGGGTTAACTGACTTGCTCAGTCACACAGATAGTAAGCATCTGAGGCAGAATTTGAACTCAGGTCTTACTGACTCTGAGACCAAAACTCTATCTACTATTCCACTTAACTGTCATCCAGCTAATAAAATATCTCTCCTCTTTTCCATTTTTAAAAATTATTAGCACAGTAATTTTTAAATAATTAGATTATATCTGTTTTAAAAAGACAAATGCCAAACAAGATACCACATCTCTTTCATATACTATTTTTCCCCACAAACATGAAATAAATAATCATTTATGAACTGCAGATGGGCTAAGTCAATTAGGTGTCCACACTAAGTCTGGCATCAATATGGTGAGCCCCCAGGAGATCCCTAAGGAGGGGCAAACCAGGCAGTATATACTCTAATAGAGTAGCAGACCTTAAAATGCAATGCTACATAAATATAAATTATTTTTGTTGTTGTTCAACTGTTTCAGTGGTGTTCAACTTTTTGTGACCTTTGGGATTTTCTTGGCAAAGATACTATTTCCTTCCGCATTTCCTTCTCCAGTTCATTTTGCAGATGAGGAAACTGAGGCAAACAGAGTTAAGTGACTTGCCCAAGGTCACATAGCTAGTGTCTGAGGCTGAATTTGAATTTGAGTCTTCCTGACTCCAGGCCCAGCACTCTACCCACTGTGCAATCTATCTGCCCATTACTATTGTTATCGTTATTATTCTGATATGGTCAGTTGAACCCACATGTATTATAAAGGCATAAATGACATTTTAAAATGGTCACCTAAAATACATCCTTATGAAGATTTTTTTTTATAGAGTTAATCATACACATCTATTTCAGGTGTCTCTAAATAAATTTTTTGTTTGCAAAAAACACAAAATAGCTGATGAAAAAAACAAAGTGGAAGCCTAACAAAGTAAAAGAATGACAATGACAGTTGAGAAGGGCTCATGTGACAATTAAAATATCTATAACTATCTTTTTGATTGTCATCATTTATACATACCTAGGATCAATGACTTCTGGATAGGCACATACTCTCAAAGTTTTTGAATTTGAGCCAACAGCATACAGACTACCGACTGGATGAAAAGCCACTGCTCGAACAGCTTGTGTGTCTTCTAAGGTGTTAATACAAACAAACTGCTTCTTTGACTTGTCACCCTGTGGGAGTAATGTTTTAAAAATTAAATATATATTCAGTTTTAAATGTATTTCAACTGTATATTAGGGTATGATGCCTATCTTATTGTCATAAGGCTCAATTGGCTAGTATCAGATGTTTTCATTGTATAAGGCTCAAATTTCCCTCATTTTTATACTTTGCTTTTCTTTCCTCATAAGTAAACTAAGCTCAGAAATATTCAAGTTTTTTCAAAATATCTTATTTCTTCTTCACAATTAACAAGTATATTACCAAATTGAGGGTTTTTTAAATTTTTTCAAATCAGGAATAGCAACCTGAGAATATAGGTAAAATTTCATGAAAACAAAAATAGCAGTATTTTTTATTTTTAAAGGTTGGAGGCATAAAGATTGAGAGTTAACATGGATGTCTCCAAGTAATTGCAAAATACCTCTTCAGAATTTAATGTGAATATTTTTTTTACTTTGAATATTTTTGTTCTTATATTTAAAACTAATTTTTGTGTAATAACTTTTTATTCCTTTGAATTTTCATGGAATACATATAAAAAACTCATTCATTTATATAATAATTGCCCAAATTTATATATTGCTTTAAGGTTTGCAAAGCACTTCACATACATTATCATATTTGCTCTATTGTCTTCTTTGATAATTACAAATTTCTATTGTATTTTCTATCCAACCTGTAAAAAAAGTGATGGCTTGCCACACAAGGTTGATAAAGAGAAAATGAGTAGGAGTGAAACGAATAGTCAGTGAAATGACCACAACATGCTAATAATAATGACTGTCTTTAACAATCAGCAAATTCCTCAAACCGAAAGATTATAAATTAAACAAAGCAGGAACACTGAATTACTAATATTTTTTTAAAAATGAAAACTTTTAGACATATTACCTCTTCTCCTCTTGACTTTGACAGAGCACCTGAAGAATCTGAAAAATGTGGCTGAATGACACAATGTTCTGTTGAGCTGTTTGAACAGGAATTCAAATTCAGTGTGTTTTGAAAATCAGAACAGAAATAAGATCAATTTATAGTTTTCAATCTCTAATTTTTATTAGATCAGTCAATATGCATTTATTGAGCATACATATCTAGCACTGTTCCAGCTATAGCAGGCCTTCATGACCTGCAGCCGGCCAAAGGCGGCCCATGAAAAATGCAGAGGATGTTTTCCTTTACATTTTCGTGGGCAGCCCGAAATCCTTTGGCATGCCCTTATGGCCCCTGAGCTGCAGGTTGTGCAGGACTGGGTTGTAGCATAACACTTTAATATTGGGGGTATTATTTTAAAAATAAGAGGCTTTCCAAATAGCTGGGAAACAGGACCAACATATGTGAATGTAACAATGAATGATTATCAATCAATAAACATTTATTAAGCACCTGTACTGTGAAAGGCACTGTGCTAAACACTGTGATATGATGATGATGGCGATAATATTGATGATGATAACAGCTATCATTTATATAGTGCTTTGAGATTTGCAAAGCACTTTACACATTTTATGCTCAACTGTGTAACAGCAGACACTCTAATTCTTCAGGTATTCAGAGAAAGAAATATTAGATGTCCCAAAAGTCTTAGTGCAGTTTTAAGCTACTAAAGCTTAAAATTAACACCTCTCTCCTCTTTTCTATTTTAAAAAGTATTAGTACAATAATTTAAAATGATTAGATTTCTTAAAAAAAAAAGACAAATACCAAACAAGATATTACGTCTCTTTCATCCACTATTTTTTCCCATAGACACAAAATAAACAATCAGTTCTGAGTTGTAGGTGGGCAAAGTCAATGAGGTGACCACACTAAGTCTGGCATCAATATAGTGAACCCCCAGGGGTGAGGGGTGGAGCACCAGCTTCTCTAATGAGTTGTAAAGGTAGAAAGGTTAGTACTTGACAATTACATGGATTAAGGAAAGTAGGGAAGAAGTGAGAGTTAATGAACTGAGGATGAAACCCAGCTTGTGAGCTAGGTGAATGGGAAGTTAGTGGTACCTTTAACAGTAACAGGGAAATCAGAAAGAGGGAAGAGTTTGACTAAGCATATGGCTTTTATCCAGACTGCAGACTAGGAAGGAACTGGGAAGGATTAGAGCTGAAGGGGATTTTAGACATAATCTAGTCCAATTACATCAATGTGCAAAATGAGGAAGCCAAAGCCCAAAATCATGATGTGATGTGCCCAAGGCTACACAGGCAATAAAGTAGCAAAAGTGGGATCCAAGTCCTCTCCTTTAAATCCAAGGCTCTTTCCATTATGACACAAAAAGCCACTGGCAAGCCAAGGTACCAGGATATGCCCAGGAACTGAGGCATAGATGCCAGAAATGAAAAGACTCTATGCTTCTCACAGAGTCATAAAGGCCAACAGGAGAGGAAGGTGAAGGTCCAGATACCACAGGCCTTACCTCCCACAGAGATAAAACGAAGCACACACAAATCACTTAGCCACTGTCTGCCTCAATTTCCTTTACTGTAAAATGGGGGTAATAATAGCACCTACCTCCTAGGGTTGTTGTAAGGATCAAATGAGGTAGTAACTGTAAAGCACTTGACACAGAGTCTGGCACACAGCAAGGGCCATGTAAATGACTATTCTCTATCCCTACTCAGATGTATGGATGGGCGAGTGGAGTACACACCTTGCCAAGCAGAACTAAATGCCTTCTAAAGACTTCAAGCAATATAGCAACGGAGCATCTAACATAACAACCAACAAGGACATGATCATGATGATGCCAATGATGACGATGACGACATGGAGTGCTTACTATGTGCTGATATCTTTACAGAATCAACTTAGCTAAATGTTAGCAATGTAACATGGGTTTGAGAAATGACTGGCATTTGTAGTTCAGGGGGAAAAGCATTCCCTTTAGTCTTGAGAGCAATTTGGGACCGCTGTGATTGCTGAGTCACATGGTGGACTTGAGTTACACTTGGGAGTTCTTAAAGGGATACACATAGTCTGTAAGAGACAGACTTGGAGAAAGGATTAGGGGTTCCAAGAACTGAGGAGCAGTGAGGAACTGGCTTTCCCAGACCTGCCTGTGACTTGAGGAAGACAAGCTAGAAAGAATCAGTGGTATGGAGGCAACTGAAAAGAGAAACTGTAAGGAGGGCTGAACAGAAGGGAACCCTCAAGCCATACAAACATCTTATAACAGAGGACTCAGGTAAAAACTGTAGGTCGACTCATCTCTTCAGGGACTGAGGAAAGTTCTATTTTTTCCCCAACTTCCCCTGCCTATGTCTGTCCAATAATAGATACTATTTACATACACTGTCTGCCTCTTCACCTAAATAGTTCCTGCATTCTGATTTTGCTTCAAACATAAAGAGGACAGGGAGTTAGCTAGAGAGAAACAAAGCTTTAAATTAGGACAAAGAGCTCTGCTTGAATGTTAGGAATTTTCTTAACTGGGGGCTCTGACTGAACTAATAACTTTCTGTTTGATACAAACTCCACAAAACCTTTAGAGAACAGGGCTACCTAGACCTGAAGTCCATTATACTGCCCTTAGGCTAAAAGTGAGCTAGTATCAGATGTGTGAAAGGAAGTGGAAGAGTGGAAACAGAAGAGGCCCTGGCCGGGCGCACATCATCTTCACCCTTTCCAAAAGGGAAACAAACAAGTACTTCCTGGAGTGCTACCTACTAATTTTACAGCAGTATTTCCAATTGTCGGCAAACTAAATACTTACATTTGGTTCCCACGGACAGGTGACTCTTCAAGAAGAGGAATCTGATTTGATCCATGGTTAAGAGGAGTGCTGGTATTCATATTTTGTATATCTGGTGCTACCCTCTGATTAGACTCTGGAGGAGGTGTTACAAAACTAGCTGCAGAAGTGTTGTTAGATCCATTCCCTTTGTTTCCATTACATTGTTTCCCAAGTGTTGATACTTCATTACCAAGACTATCCATACCAATATTCAATTCTCCAAGCTTTTGAATAGATCTGTAAGACAATTATTTCAAAACAAAAAAACCCAGTCATATTCATCACTTCACAAAGGAAGAAATCCTTGAAAGGAAAGAGAAAAAATTGTCATAGGTTATCTGTAATAAGTTTATGTTAGAAAATGATAATCACTGACAAAAAGCAATTATTAGTCAATTTACTTAAAACTGGTATCATTATTATTTCTTATAGCATTAATGTCAAAGTAACATCAGATTTCTCAAAATGAATGCTATTATAATATTCAAAATTTAACTGTAAAAAAAAATTTAACTGTAAAGCAAAAGATTTTCCTTCATTTTATCATCACTTTTCTTACATAAAAGTTTGTTATGGAATTTTCCACTTAATATCACACTTAACATTAATGTTAAAAAACAAACAAAAATTAAAGGTTCAATTAAAATCTTATTCTAACACCGGATCATGATGTAGAAGTAATCCTAGCTCTGGTATAAGGTAGCAGATAACAAGATGAGGGCCATAGTGCACAGCTAGAAGATTGGCCTGACAATCTGGTGCTAGTTTGAGACAGTGAGTTGTATAAATTTTTGCTCAAGGACTCTATCAGGACATCTAAGTCCCAGGGTGGGAGTTCCAAAACTGAGATGATTAAGTCCCCCAAGGTGGCCAGACCTGTATAATAACAGGTGTGCTGGCCCAGACTCTACTTCTTCGGTCCTGGAAGACTTAATACTTCAGAATAAGAACTCCCACCCTGGGGTCCAGCTATCCTGATTGCTAAGTGAGTATAAGCTGGCCTCAGACCACAAGACCATGATTCCAGCCAGCAAGGGCATTACTGGAAGTCTGACATTGCTGAGACAATTAAGAGATAGTGGCAGTTAATATTACATTTGGTATTAACATTTTTCCATCACAGTTGAGGTAAAATAAGATGTCAATAAAATGAATTAAATAAAATCTACTTTTTTAGAGGGGCATGGAAGGGATTCTACAGTCAATTCCAATTTACTCACAAAAAACTAAAAGGGAAGAAAATTAAGAAATACAGATTACAAAAAATAAAGTACATAGAAAAGCAAAAAAAACCCCAAAACACCTTTTTTCAAAATCTGATCTGAATTCATCTCCTCTTCCTGAACTCTTTGGTGTCTTTTTCACCAAAGTCTTTCACTAAAGTCCACTTACTCATTTTTTGTTACCATTCAGTCACTTCAGTCATATACAACTCTTCATTTGGGGCTTTCTTGGCAAAGATATTAGAGTAGTTTGCCATTTCCTTCTCTACCTCATTTTACTGATGAGAAACTGAGGCAAACAGGGTTAAGTGACTTACCCAGGTTCACACAACTAGTAAATGTCTGAGGCCAGATTTTAACTCAGGAAGACGAGTCTTCCTGACTCAGGTCCAGCACTCTATCCACTGTGCTACCTAGCTGCCCATTTGCTCACTGGCACAGAATAAATTATATTTCTCTTCAAATTAGAATATTCTACAAAGTAATAAGTACTACACTTCTTTATTACAAGATAGGGTTCTCTTGGATGGGGGAGAGGAAGCCATTAGGAAGTGGCAGTCATGTAAATGAAAATGACTAACAAAACGTTCTTTAAAAAATAAAGAAAAAGAAGATAAGTTGCTACACAGTAGCTAACGCTTCCGATTAAGGCATATAGTGAAGTGGCAAAATTAGAGAATGAGGAATCTGATAATCCACAAACTCTTAAATCAGTTACCCCACTTTGTGGATTTATGGAAGAACATGAACAAAAATAACATGAGATGAGAAGGCATGGATAGGCTGCAACCTACCCATTATAGGGGAATACTCACCTCGATGATATAACAATTCCAATGAAATACCCAACTACTAAATAAGAATATATTATCTGGAGAAAAAGATTATGGAAAAAATCAGCTATGATGTTTGCAAATTTCTAGAAAAGCACAAAACTATTAATAATAACCAATATATTAAATAAAATTAGTTGAATTTCTATAGGCTGATTTGGAAATGGATATTATATTGAAGGAATGGAATAATACATGCATATTCTGTTATGTTTTAAGCTGTAAGTAAGACAACAGCTAGTTTCAGTACTGTGTATAAAGAGAAGAATAATTAAGAGATAATGTCAGCCTAATGGTGCATATCATAGGGTCCCACAGTCCTTGGTACAGCATTATTTTATCAAGTAGTAAAACAATTAAATTAATTGTTAAAGCATTGTTTGTGAATCATCAAATTCAGTGTCACTACTATGTCCAAAATGGTGAAACTGATTTCAAAATAACCTTGGCAAGACAGAAGTTTATCAAAAATGGTTAATTCAAAAGGGAAAAGAACACTATAGGGACAAAAAATGAATTACACAGCTATAAACCAGGTCATGACTAAAGTAATTAAACACAAGTCAGAAGCAAGGGATCCAACAGAATGAGTCACCATTTAAGTGAGTCAAAGATAATATTGATGTTAAAAAATAAAACAAAAATCTAGTATAGTGAAGCTTTGCTTAATGGGGAATAATTAGGGGCAGCTAGGTGGCGCAATGGATAGAGCACCGGCCCTGAAGTCAGGAGTACCAGAGTTCAAATCTGGCCTCAGACCAAACACTTGACACTAGCTGTGTGACCTTGGGCAAGTCACTTAACCCCAATTGCCTAAAAAAAAAAAAAACCCAACAAAACAACAAAAAACAAACAAACCCCAGGGAATAATTATCCAATTTGTGGATTTTTAATGTCTTTATTTCTTTTCTGCCTCCTGTCCTATGGCTAATTCTACCCTATGGCTACAAAATTCTTCTAACTAGCCCAACTGTCTGTCTATCCAAATTGTGTTAACTAAAATCACCAGCTGCTCTGGTGAAAACTCCCTTTTCCTGGATATCTCTTCCCCTTACTCAAATCCCTATACAGTTTACTGACTGACTGCTTCACATTTCTGAATGTGAAGCTAACTCCTTACTTGGTATCCTCTGACAGAGCCTAGTTAAATGATGTCTTCACAAAGGCACAGCCTCTTGCTAGTGGGCTATTAGCAACTACCTCCTCCTCCTGGGTTAGGTGTTTGCACAAGAGGCCCTTACTCAGGCAGCCGCATGACAACCAACTTGACTCTTGCTGCCCGTGTCTGTTTTGGGCTGTCTGCCCATCCCTTTGTCCTGTATCACCATTTTCTCCTGCTGTAGCAGCAGCAGCAGCTTGAGCTCTTACTCCTTATAGCCATCTTTTTTTCTTGGTGAACAGGCTCAAGTTTGTAGGGTCTATGATTTGAGGTTGATTAGAGTCCCTTGCTGTTTAGAATATATTATTCCATTTTTTTCTACAATTTCTAGTGAGTGCAAAATAGTCTTGTGATTCAAGTTTTCTTTCCTTTATATTTGCAGGTCTTTCTCTTGACTGCTTATAGCTAGGTAACACAGTGGATAAAGCCATGAACCTTGAATCAGGAATTAATCTGAATTCAAATCTGGCCTTGAACACTAGTTTGTGACACTAGACAAGTCACTTAACCTGTTTGCCTCAGTTTCTTAATCTATAAAAATAATAGCACCTACTTCCTAAGTAGATTTTTAAAAAATAAGATATTTATAAAGTGCTTTGCAAACCTTAAAGCACTATATAAATGCTAGCTATTATTATTGGAATTACTAAATTAACCACGTCTTGGATTTTGAAATGTTTTGTTGTTTTTTTCTTCTTTCTAGAGGGCATTGGTGGACTCTTTCAATTACTGATTTATTTTCTGAATTCAGTAGTTCTGGGCAGTTTTCTTATACTATTTCCTGTTTGTGGTGTTCAGGTTTTTTGTCATGTTGTTCTGGGAGACCTATAATCCTTAAATGCATCCTATCTTCAAGATCAATAACTTTAGGGCATCTGTGAGACATCCAATTTGAGATATCCAACAGGCTGTTGGAGATGTGAAACTGGAGGTCAGTGGACAGGTTAGGGCTGGATAAGTAGACTTGAAAATCATCGGCATAAATATGGTAATTAAACCCATTAGAGCTGATATCACCACATGAAATATTATACATTATAGAGGGCGAACAGGGCCCAGGACAGAGTACCATGGGGCACTCATGGGTAATAGGCATGACCTGGATAAATATCCATTGAAGACTAGTCAGTCAGATAAGTAGAGGGAGAACCAGGAGAGATTTGTGTCAAGGAAACCTGGAGAAAGGGAGTATCAAGGAGAAGAGGATGATCAACAGTGTCAAAGGATACAATGAGGTCAAGAAGGATGAGGACTGAGAAAAGGCCTTAAGATTCAGCAACTAAAGCACTTCTAGGGCTGTATCCCAAAGAGATCATACAAATGGGAAAAGGACCCACATGTACAAAAATATTTATAGCAGCTCTTTTTGTGGTGGCAAAGACTTGAAAATTGAGGGGATGTCCATCAACTGGAGAATGCCTGAACAAGTCGTGGTATATGAATGTAATGGAATACTATTGTGCTATAAGAAAGGATGAGCAGGCAGACTTCAGAAAAACCTGTACAGACTTGCATGGACTGATGCTGAGTGAAGTGAGCAAAACCAGGAGAACATTGTACACAGTAATAGCTACATTGTGCGATGACTAACTTTAATAGACTTAACCCTTCTCAGCAATGCAAGGATCTAAGACATCTCCAAAATTCTAATGATGGAAAATGGTATCCACATCCAAAGAAAGAACTATGGAATTTGAATGCAGATTGAAGCATACTACTTGCTATTTTTTTCTTCTGTTTTGTATTGTTTCCTCTTTCTTGTGGTTCCTCCTATTGGTTCTAATTCTTCCTTACAATATGACTAATGTGAAAATATGTTTAACAGGAATGTATATATATAGCCTATATCAGACTGCATGCCATCTTGGGGAGGGAGGGGGGGAGAGAGGGAGAGAAAAATTTAAAACTCAAAAGCTTATGGAAGTGATTGTTGATAAATCCAAATAAATTAATAAAAAATTTTTTTTAAAAAGATTCAGCAATTGAGTGATCATTAGTAACTCTGTAGAGAACAGTGTTGCTTGATTGATGAGGTTGGATGCCACACTGTAGTGTTAAGAATAGAGTGAGAAGGAAAAAAATGGAGGAACCTACTGCAGATGGCCTTCTCACAGGGTTTAACCACAAAAGGGAGGATAGTTATGAGATGATAGCTAGGAGATAGAAGCCTGAAGGGTTTTTTGAGGATGGGGAAGATATGAGCATGTTTGTAGACAGTAAGGAAGTAGCCAGGAGACAGTAAAAAAGTAGCCAGAAGACAAAGAGACTAGAGATAAATGAGAAAGTGAGGATGATAAAGGGGGCAACCTGCTGGAGAAGACAGGATAGAATGGGACCACTTGTGCATAAAGAGGGGTTTGCCTTGCCATGAACAGTCACCTCATTATGTGAGATGGGAGCGAGGGTGGAGAAAATAGCAGAAGGCATCTGGGCGATTAGGACAGAAGGAGGGAAGAAGGAGGAGCACTTGGCAAATGATGACCTCAGTGTTTTCAGTAAAATATGAGCCAAGGTTCTCATGAGAGGGTAGGAGGAGGGGGAGCCATGGGAGATTTTAGGAGGGATGAAAAGGTTTTGAAGAGCTGCCGTGAGGGTAGGATAGCGAGTTAATTAGCACGGTGTAAAAAAAACTGTCTTGCCATAGTGAAGGCCCACTTCAAGTTATGGTACATAAATTTGTAATGGACCCAGTCAGCAGCATTTCCTGGTTTTCTCCTGCTTCACTGAGGAGCACGTATGTAGGAGCAGCAGCAGTGGCTGATAGGAATGATCCAAGACTAAGCCTTGACAGAGCAAGATCAAAGATACCATAAGGAGGGGGCACAAGTGACTCTAGAGGACAGGGCTAGTATAGAGTTGAACTGGTTCATCAAAAGGGGAAGGGAGGAGAGGATAGCTAGTGCAGGAGTAATGGCCTGGGGAAAAAACTGAGTCATGGGATTAAAGGTCATAGAGAGGACAAAGAACAACAGACTGTGCTCAGAGAAGGGAATATCAGAGTTCATGAAGGGAAATGGTGCATTTGTGGGTGACGACAAGATCAAGAACTCACTGACCATGGAATGTAGGGCTGAGGTGGGGTGGAGTAGCTCACGGGAAATGAGTAAGTGGAGGAATAGTTGGAGTATTTGAGGGAAGATCAATATGTCTGCTGAAGTCCCCTAGTATAAGGGCAGGAGTTGGGGAGGAGAGAAAAATTATAAACCAGGTATCAAACTCATTGGGAAAAGAAGAGGAGTCACCTGGGGGGGGTCTATAGACAACAGTTACCGAGATTTTGATTGGGTGATATTAATAGCATGAACTTGAAAGGAAGAAAGGTTACTGGAACACAGGTAAGAACCAGAAAGTGACAATGGGGAGCAAAGAATATTCCAGTGAGTTGAGGGAAATAAGTCAAAGTAGCCAGTGCTAGAAACTGAGGGCAGGAAAGAGCCAGGTCTCAGTGAGAGTCAGAAGATGGAAGGGATAGGAAAGGAAAAGATTTAAGATGAAAGCAATTTTGTTACCTATGGTACAGGTATTCCAGAAAGCATGGCAGAAGGGGTGGGCAGCTTGAGAGTATGACACTGATGTTCTGGGTTGAGAGGAATCGGAATAAGGGATGGGGTTGGTGTGGGGAGAATGGGGGAGGGAGAGAAAGGGGTCTGAGTAATAGCTGGAAGTTCAAAATTACTGAGACAGGAATGGCATGACCAAGGGGAAGTTCTTCATCATTGAAGAACAAGTTCAGGTAGGTTTTCATTGTCCACATAAGTTCTGACTGCCGGATGGAGTTCCTTAGGGTCTTAGGCAGCTTCAGGAGAGAAGGCAAATGATTGGAGCTGAAGGAATGGTGTTATTGAAAAGTGTTACTCCCTGTCCCCCTGGGCAGGCACCAGGTTAGAGACTTGGTGGAACATCCTTTGTCCTCTACTCTGGAAGGGTAGAGTCTGGTGATGGAATGGAGTTTTTCCTCTTCCCAAGAGAGGCTGGAAACCTCGTAGGAGACCTGGCACAATGGAATGATATTTTCTCTCCTTCCTTCAAGAGCAGGAGACTTGTGTGTGATGGAATAGCATTTCTTATCTTCCTGAGGGAAGCTGGAGACCATACAGGACACCTGGAATTATAGAATGGCAGGAACCAGGAAAATATTCTTCCACTAAACCACGGCTTCTTAATCTTTTTTGTGTCATGGACCCCTTTGGCAGTCTGATAAAGCCTATGGATTTCTCAGAATAATGGTTTTAATGCATAAAATAAAATACATAGGATTACAAAAAGAAATAAGATATACTGAAGTAAAGTTTTATCAAAATATTTTTCTAAAAAGTTCACAGACCCCAAGTTAAGAATATATTAAACAAAATTTTAATCAGGCCTTTTAATAAAGCACTGCATTCTTTTTGGACACAGTAAGACACACAAAACATTTAGAAGGTCTATGGAAGAACAAATAAAATTATTAAAGAATTGGAAAATTTGTTAGATAAAAAAAGATTAAATTAAAATTAAAAAGAAAAGTGTTGAGGAATAATACAGCCATTCTAATATATAAACATGGCTATTCTAAGGATAGCAATATTTTAACTGTTTCTTGCCATAGTTATAAGTCTCTAAGTATAAGCAATGCTGAATATATTTCCTGATAGCATTAAACTAGATTTTGCTACAAGAGAAGTTACAGAATTCAATGAATTGAATTTCATCAATCACTTAATAAAATGCCAATTATGCATTCAAGGCACTATGCTAGGCACTGGGGATACAAAGACAAAAAAGCCCTACTTTCAAAGAAATTACATTCTATTGGGGATTGGGGGTACAAGGGGTCAGATGGCAAAAGACACATAATAACATGTACAGAGATTAATAAATACAAGGCAACTGGAGGAAAGGAAAAAGGACTAGTAATTGATTTTTGTCCCTGGTGATATTTTAAAAGAAGGCTAAATGGGTTTTCAATGATTTAGCTAAAGGGAGGGATAAGACTAGATGATTCTGTAAAATTCTGTAAGATATTTGGCTCTATGGTTACCTAACTTGACAGGCAGATACTGTTTAAAGAAAGTGAAAAGTACTCATAACTAGTGATAATTGTTAATTACTCCCCAGGTCAGAAAAGAATACCAAGTCATTTTCTAGCCAATGGTGATCCTTGTCTGGTTAGAGAGCAAAGGACCTATGAAAGCTTCCAGAGTGTTAGTGGTTAAGGTGATTTAGCCAGAGGTAGAAGCCTGGTGAAATTGTGGAAGTGTAGAAAAAGTGGATAGGAGGGCAAAATAGAGGATGACGTACTCCACTGATACATCAAGCCCTAAGGCTACATTGGGTTTTAAGTCCTGATACCCTCCCATGAAACAATATAAGCACCCAAGGACAGTAGTGACAAAGCCCTGAAAGATGTGATTCTGAGTGGTACAGTCCTGAGCCATAACCTTGACTATGAGAAAAGAGTGTACCTGGATAAAGAGACAAGAGGAATAGGAGCTTGGTGAGCGTGAGCAAATCTGTAACATAAGGATCTTTAAGACACAAATTATTGGAAGCAAGATATGAGAACCTCAAAATTTTTAGCTATATTAATAAAAGTCATTACACACTTTTACTTTGTAAAAACTCAGTTAACTTTTTTAAAATGAAAGAATTGTCAAAAAAACGAACCTATTAAGGAACTGCTCAGTGAGATTCTGTTGCTGATCAGAACCATCTTCCTGATTTACACCTCCTTCAAGTAGCATTTGCTGGTAAATTTGTCGCTGCTGTTCCTTCTGTTCTAAATGCTGCTGATAGCGCAATCTCTGCCTATAATATTCTTGAAACTGTTCCGTTGAATCACGAAGCTTAAAAAAATTAAAATATCATATTAAAATTAATACATTTTAAAAGACTATGACATATACCTAATAAAACTACTAGTAATAACTTAAGTATAATAAACATTACAATAAATTTACTATTAAATTTACTGATTTAATTTTTTTAGCTGTCAAACATATTAAATATTGATTATGTTGTTCTATACAGAATATTAGCGTACCAGTAAGGCCAAGAGCATGGCTCAATATTCAAGTAGGCCAATTAGCTTTGAATCCCAGGTCACAGACTAAACCCCTAACCCCAACCAACCATCTCAAAAAAGATATAAGCTCATGGTCAACAGGAAAATCCAGATGGCTCAAAATAAATCCATTAGTGCTGATAGAAAAAGCAATTAAAAGCTTATCTTTTACTGATTATGATCTACAAGCTTAATTTTTTATACAAAGAATATTACTATTCCACAAAATGTTCTGATAGTCTTCAACATGCTTAATTTAAGCATTAAAATTCCTTAGTTATTCCAGACAGGAAACCTTGCAAAACTTCACCCCTAAGAAGTATTTTAGTATGGTTTCAAATGACTTCTAAAAACAATAAGAAAAAAAAGTTAAACTATTTCAGTCTTCCTATTGGCAACGATGTTATACAACATCTAGAAGAAAGGTTCTGAATGTGGATGAATATTTACTAGACTCTATTGTTGGCAACAAAAGATTCTATTACCAAGATGAGTTCTGTTCTAGGGTCATCATAGACCTACTCTGCTCTGGGATGGCTATATACCAGTTAACAGGTCAGGGGCACTGTAGGCATCTTGAAACAAAATGATCAGCTCTAGGACTCGCCAAGGTAGAACTTCTAAGAGTCTCTTCTAAGAGAACTTCTATATGTATATATACCCATGTACATATATCACACACACATATATGTGTGTATATTAAATGGGGAGGGGGAGACGAGAGAGAGAGAGAAAGAGAAAGAGAGACTATTCTCAAATAGCATTTTCAAAAGTCAATAGGAAAAAAGACCACGACTTAATTGTTGACTTGCTAAAAACACGAGTTTATTATTCACCACTAGAGTTAGACATTTCCTACTGAGAAAAAACACTTGGAATGAGTTAGGTAAATGATGACATGTTTATTTCCAACAATTTCTCATTACCAGTAGTACATTAAATGGTTTCTTCCTCCAATTAATCATTAACAGCAATATTTATGAGAGAGAGCAACTGTAATACAACTGTATCACCAGTTTAAGCAATAAGAAATTTCACTGACACCATGAAATGTTTCAACTCAACAATTTTAATTTCATGACCTTTTTTAACAGCTCTATATAAAATAAAATGTAAATCCCACTTTAAAAACTGTATAGTTTTCCTTCAGGATTCTAAGAAAGGTCAAGAAAAAATAACCTAGCAACCTTTAAAGCTCAAATTCAAGTACAGTTCTATATTAATAGTATAAATAGTAGCTTTCTCATTAAAGCCAGTTATTAAAAGATTACAAGATATAACTGAAAACCCAAGCCTATATTTGATCTATTTTTAGAACTCTTGGTTTGGAAATACATAGACCGAGTCAAAAACATAATTACACACTGACAAATCTACATTGCCCAATCATTCATGATAAAGTTGTTTTTTTTTTTTTTATAAATACCCTACATTCATCGGCAAAGGAAAAAAATGAGGCATTTACAAGAAAAAGCTAACTATACCTCCCCAAAGAAGCACCAGAAAAACATAGCTATATTCCAAATCAGCAAGTTCCCAGTTCTTTTTTAAATGACATCATGTGACACTGATGTTACCTCATTTTTTTCTTGCTTGGCCGGCACAGGATTTTGTGTTCCATTTACTGGCTCTTTTTCTGAAGCTGAACCCTGCTCTAAGTTTTCACTGCTCACAGGATGCTGGGCTTCTGAAGGAGTATCACTTCTTTCCATAAAGTACAAAAGGAACAAAAATGATGAATTTAGTGTAGGCAAACAGGTGTGGGGATAGATATATTGTAATAGGAAACAAAAGAAGAGCTATAAAGAAAATTTTCTCACATAAGACAAATGTAACTCAAGAAAATTTACTGAAAACTGATGTATTCATGAAAAATCAAAGTACGACATTAGAAAACCCTCCAAACCCTATAGCTTAGTGTGGTGAAAAGATCCCTGGATTAAGGTTCCAGCCTTTTAATTAGCTATGTGACTTCTGACGAGTCACTTAACATCTATGCGCTCCAGTTTCCTCATTCAGTAAGGCAGCTAAACTAAATGACTGATTTCTAAGGTCCATTCCTGCTTTAAATTTATGTAATTCTTCATCTCCCTACATTTTCCTGAAAAACTTTCTTCAATTTCTCCGTACTAACTTTCCATTTTTGGATATGTTTCCCTTAGAATCTGCTTGAGATGTATTTGTCAGGTTATTTCTAACATTCTTCAGAAACGCTGGCAATTCTTATCAATTCTTATTTTCTTACCTCTACAAGGATTAGCCTAAACGGAGACAAACCAAGATCCTGAACCAAGAACTTTAGGAACAGATGTACCCCCAAACCACCAGAGTTTCTTTTGTTGAGGGGGGTGGGGGCTAGGCACACAGCTAATAAATGTCAAGTGTCTGACGCCGAATTTGAACTCAGGTCCTCCTGATTCCAAGGCCGGTGCTCTATCCACTATGCCACCTAGGTGCCCCTCTATCAGAGCTTCTTAAAGCCCAGTTCCTATAACCACAATCAAGGGGAGAAATTCAAGAGAAGGGTTGCTTCCTCACCACCACCAGCAACAACTGTTGACCAACTGCTACCAACACACACGTATGTAAAAAGAACCATGGGCAGCACCCCTCCATACTAGTGGTATCAAACTCAAACAGAAATGGATCCCTGCAAACCACATACTGACTAAGAAAACCACAAACTAACATTCTCAATGTTTTACTGTATTTTTATTTATTTTGTTAAACATTTCCCAGTTACATTTTAATCTAATTTGGGCTGATGCAGCACAGTGACCATGAGTTTGACATTTCTAGCCCAGATCACTGATCCTGCTTCCAGCCTAGCCCTCATAGCTACCATTACAGGGAAGCAACTCCTATGGAAAATAGACCAGCCTTCCCAACCAACTTCCATTCACAGGGCAGACAAGCCTGCCTAGCTGAAGCAGCAACACACCGTAAAGGAAAGACAAGAGGCTGCATGTGTCAGGTAAGTCAAACTACCATCAGCACCATAAAAACCATCTCTCCTCTGACCCCATGATGGAGGCAGCAGAGAACCCTAAACTCAAGAGCAATGCTTCCAGCCTAGAGCCCACAGTGATCATCTCGGAATGCAATTCTATGGAGATGTAGGCTGGTAACTGCTCCTGCAGGTACCACAGCCCTAGCTTCTGAAGACCCAGAAAAAGAAAGTTCCTGCCTCCAAAGTGCTTGGCATGGTCCAATGGCTCAACATCAGAAACTGCTATGATTTTATCAGAGCAAATGACGTTAAAGAAGAGGCATTATCATCTGCTTTACTGCTACTCTATTCCCCTAAGGATCACGTGACCTTTCCATCTGATTTGCAACTGAAACTTTCATGTGTGTTGTCTCCCCATGACAATGTGAGCTCCTTTTCCATTTGTATCTCCAGCACTTGGCACAGTGCTTTCTATCACAGTAACTACTTAAATACTTTATTCATTCATTTTTTTAAGTCCTTGTACTATGAATAATTATGAACTGAATATAAATACTATTTTATTGTGATGGGTATGTTAGCACCCAAAATTTTAAAATAAGGATTTTACTAATTTTTTTATTATTCTCTGAATAAGGGAGCTAGTTGGCTGAATGGATAGAGCACTAGATAGGAGTAAGGAAGCCCTGAGTTCCAATTCTCCCTTAAACTCTTACTAATTATACGACCTTGGGCAAATCACTTAATCCCTGTGAGGCTCAGTTTCTTCATCTGTAAAATGGGATTTTAAGAGAACCTACCTTACAAGTTTGTTGTGAGTATCAAATGAAATAACTTATGTAAAGTACTTTGCAAAATCTAAAGTATTATGTAGATGTTAATTATTAAGGGAAGAATAATGAATTTAGAAATTAAGTAGGAAAACAGAAATATAAATCTATGAAACAGTCAAAATATAAATTAATCACTCAATTTAAAAAGACTAAGGAATTAATTTCCACTAATATTTATGCTTATGACATATAATTTGCAGGAGATGAAACAGTATTTAAGTGCCTGAAAGCAACTGAAAAAACTACTTACTGAAGACGGGCTAAATATAGTCAATGCCTAAAATATACATTCATTAGCAATAATAAGGCATCTGAGCAAATCTTCCATTCCTATGTGTTGTGAGTATCAAATGAGATAATATTTGTAAAGCATTTAGGACAGCACCTGGCATATAGTAGGTGCTACATAATGTTTATTCCCTTCCCCTCTCCATATGAAATGAGATAGAAACTTTCCAGGTCCTTCCCACCACTCATTTAATAATATAACTGGTCTTCATTTCTTGTCATTTCATATTTCACCACTTGATTCAATGCTGACTAATGGTGTACACAAAAACAACTCATTTTTTAAAAAGTTTTGCCAACATACCAACTGATAAAGGAGCATATATTCACCTGACAGTGGATACATTTAAGATGAAGTTTCAAGAAAATACCATGCCTAAAAGTCAGGACTGCATATTTGCCACTAAAGACTCTCTCCCATTTCACATCGGAGACGTTAGGGTGCCACTATTTGTAAAGTACTTTGTGCAGTGCCTGGCACATGATAATGTGCTTATTATGTTTAACAGGTGCTCAATAAATGCTTATTCCCTTCCTCTTCTATTTCCCCACCACACACTCTTCTCATGGAAAGGGACCTCTAGAGGCAGCTGTGGCAGTGACTGGAACAGATGTATTTGATTACAGGTCAGATTTCCCTATTTACGGTACCAGTGCCTGGTAGGAATTGTGGTATGGGGAGAGACCACTCCTCTCTGGGAGTATAAGGTGAGGAAAAATGGGATTAAAGGGAAGGAAGAAGACTCTATACGTTGTTTTAAGGTGGCCACTGTTTTCAGGATATAGTACTTCTTGTCTTAAAAAGGTCACAGTTGGAGGAGAACCTGTGAAATTATTTAGTCCAGGTGTCAAATTCTGGGCCCATGCAGTCTGCTAAACTCCCTAGTACAGCAGCCCAAATCAGATATCAGATTAAAATGCAATTGGGAAATGTCTGACAAAGTATATAAAAATACAATTCAACATGTTAACTTATAGTGTTCTAAGTCAATATGTAGGGGCAACTAGGTGATGCAGTGGATGGAGTGCCAGACCTGGAATCAGGAAGATTCATCTTCTTGAATTCAAATCTGGCCTAAGACACTTACTAGCTGTGTGACCCTGGGCAAGTCAATTAACCCTATTTGCTTTAGTTTCTTCATCTGTAAAATGAGCTAGAGAAGGAACCAGCAAACCACGCCAGTATCTTTGCCAAGAAAACTCCAAATACGGTCAAGAACAGTTGGATATATGACTGAAATGACTGAACAACCACAACAAAGTATGCCTACAGGAATCCATTTCTATTTGAATTTAATACCACTGACTTATTTTATCATAAGAGCAAGTCACTTAATCTCTCTGAGGGTCAATTTTTTCATCTGCAAAATTAGAAGAGCTCTACCTATAGTAATTACCTTATATGATTATATTATATCTCATGAACAAATGAAATAATATATATATATATATAAAGTTCTTTGCAAATTTAAAAATGTCATGAAAATGTCCGCTATTACTATTATTATTCCCATGCCTCTAAATAACTCTATCCAATGTTACTTAAAAATATCAACCAATCAACAAACCTTTATTAAGCCTGTGCTGTGTGCCAGACACTGTGCTAGGCAGTTTGGTTAAAAATGGAAGGACTTAACTTTAAAGTGCTAGTCTCAAGAACTATAGGTTCATATGCCCAAAAAGCTATTAAACTGTGCATGTCCTTTGAGCCAGCAATACTCCTACTAGGTCTATATCCCAAAGAAATCAAATATAGAAGAAACATAAGTACATATGAGATATAAGTACAAAAATATTTATAGCAGGTTTTTTTTTTATGGTGGCAAAGAACTGGGAACTGTGGGGGGAGGGTGGGAAACATCATCAACAGAGGAATGGATGAATAAATAATATATGTATATGAATGTGATAGAATACTATGGTGCTATAAGAAATAATGAAGGGGACAGTTTCAGAGAAACTTGGGAAGGGTTGTAAGAACTGAACCAGGAGAATAATTTATACAATAACAACAATATTGTAAAGGCAAACAACTCCGAAATACTTAGGAACTTTGATCACAATTACTAACCACAATTTCAGAAGACTCATGATTAAACACACTACCCAGCTACTAATTAAAGAGGTGATAGATTCAAGAGTGTGGACTGAGACATTTTTTTGGTGTGGGGAGGGTAGGGTGTGGAACATAGCCTTGCTGTTTTGCTTAACTATTCATGTTTTTAACAGGGATTTTGTTTTTCTTGCCTCCTCAATGAGGTGGGAGAAAGGAAAAAGTGGGAGGGAGAGAAATCAGATCTTCATGAAAATAAAATACAATTTAATTTTTCAAAAGATAACTATAAGGTTCACTCTGCACAAACATCAATTGTTTTCTATCACCCCTATAGCAATTTTTGTAAACCATACTTACCGTTCAGGTGATTCTTCATAAATACTATGACATTCTGTATTTTCAAGCATGAGACTTCTACTAAGGTTTTGTACCCCTGGATAATGGAAATTAGCAAAGGAGTGTGACATTGGAGAAGTTTTGTTTCCAAGATCTGAGATTCGTTTATCATGATTAGTTAGACCACAAGTTAACCCATCTAAAGCAGGATTCAGAGAGCGGGTCATGTAAGCATCGGCTGACTGAGGCCTTCTCATTGGGGATGAAGGATAAGGGGAGAGTTTGCTGATAAGAGGAGTAAGAAGATCAGCATATGCAGCTTTTGTAGGTTTCAAGAGTTTGTCAACATGAATATTCAGCATCTTTTGTTCAAAAGCACAAGAGAAGACAGTAGGTGGAAGATTTTGAAGCCATGACAATAAACTCAAGTCCAAATCATCACAACCATTACCACATAAAAGGTCAATGCCAAGAAGTACTTCACTTTCTGTGATTTCTTCTCCAGTTGCTTTACTCTGACAAAATTCAACACAACATTCATAAAGCAGTCCCTTCATTACAAGCTGAAATAAACGATTGTTACTTGCTTTAAAACCAGCTTCACTTAGCTTCCTGTCAGCAGGGATGAACTCTGCTACCATAACACAAGCTTCTTCAAAACAGTGAACTCGTGCAGTGCTGGGGTTCCAGTCCTTGAATTCTGCATGATTAGTCAGGCGAGGCAAAGTAAGTAACAGACAGAGTTTGCTATAGTCATCTTTAGAAGGGCAGTACTCTTCTAATGCGTGGAGGCACTGCACAGCTTCTTGCATGGTAAATTCCAACTGTAAAGAAAAAATACTAAAATTGACCATTCTTAAAAAGGATACTACTATGGGATCACAAACACAGGATAGAATTTCTTTTTCAAATACAAGATCTTGTCAAACTTGACTTTGTAGTCTTTTAACTACAATGGGAAAAAAATAGAGTGCCACAAGATATCATATTATATGAAAAACATAAATTTTCATATGAGCAGCTAAACTCCACTCCCCCTACCTCCCTGATCAAAATTTTCAATATAAGCCTCCTGAAATAACGATCTTTGTGGAAGTTAGTGCATATTAAACTCTAAACTACAGGAAACAGTAAAGCCACGCAGTAGGATTGCCCTGCATATTAAAATACCTGAACAAATTTGGGATTCTGTGTGTATGTGTATGCAGAACTTGAAGATTTTTGATTATTTGTAGGATTTTGAAGTTGCCAAATCTTGAAAAGTGAAAGTTGAATTACCAGGAATTCTAGCAGGATGACTGTAGTAAGACAGACCTCATTAGTGAAAGATGGAGCCTTTGAAACTAATTAATAATGAGGCTGTTTTGGCTAGCTGATAAAAAGCATTAGTTTTTTGGTTCTACATCTTGCAAGAAGGCAGTAGTTGTTCTTACACCGAGCTCTTTGAGTAAATGAACACTTAGATGAAGCAGAGTGAAAGGCAGTATAACAATTTATACTATAATGACATTGTAAAAAGATTTAACTCTGATCAACTCAGTGTTCAACCATGATTACAAAGGATTGTAATGAAGCTTCTCATCTCCTGATGGAAAGGTTAGAGATTAAATATGTAGAATAAGACAAAATTTTGGGCATAAGCAATACACGTCGGTCAATGTAGGAATTTGTTTTATTTACTATACACTTTTGTTATAAGGATTTTGTCCTTTTCTTTCTGTCTTTTTTCAGTGGGATGGGAAGTGGCAGTGAGAGAAAATAAGCTGCTTGTTAATTAAAATATAATTGAAAACTAAAGAATGAATTTGATAAAATTAAATATGTCATATATAACAAAAAAAAAAGAAAAGTGAAAGTTGAAGAATGACAAATTTCAAGTGTAAAGCTAAATGCTTACTTGGGCTTACTATTCAACTAATTATACTACTTAAATCAAACCAAATGGCCATTCAAGTACCTGTATCTATTTCCTATCACCTGATAAAGAAGTTGTGAGATACTTGGGTAGGCCATTCACATAAAGAGTATAAACCTACAGAGGGACTCCACACCCTCTATGTGAGACTCCAGATTGTGGCCCTAGGGTAATCTGGTGGGGAGCCAAAGAAAGCAAACCTAGAGAGCCTCCTTTGACTAAGTATTGCATAAAGCAGGACAGGAAAATCTAGAGAGGATAAGATAATGGTTAGACAAATGAATAAATGACTCTTTAAAGAAGCGTTTATTAAGTGCTTACTATACACTAATACTCTGCTGAGCACTAGGGATACAAATAGAAAAAGTGAGAAAACCCCTGACATCAAAGAACTTATATTAATGGGGAGAAAACATAAACAACTATGCACATACAAGATCTATAATGGTGTAAAAGGGAGACAATCTCTGAGGGAAGGCTGGGGGGGGGGGGGGGGGGGGGGGGGGGGGGGGTAGGTGGAAAATGGGGGAGGCCTGTATAGAAAGACCTCTTGCAAAAGCTAAGATTTCAGTTGAGTCTTGAAGGAAACCAGGAAATCCAAGAGGCAAAGGAAAGGAAGAAAAGGGTTCTAGGCATGAAGGGCAAGCCAGTGATCAAGGCTGGGGATCTGGAGATGGAGTGAAATGTCAAGGAAACGCAAGAAGTCAGTTTTGCTAAATCACAGAGTATGTGTAGAGAAGTAAAATGTAAGAAGACTAAAAAGGTAGAAAGGAATCAGGTTTTGAAGGGTTTTAAAATCCAAAAAGAGGATTTTATATTTGATCTTGGATGTTATAGCATTGGAATTTACTAAGTGAGGGCAAGTGAAGATGACATGACAAGACCTATACTTTAGGAAAATCATTTTGGCAGCTAAGTGAAGGATGAAATAGAATGATGAGAGAATTGAGGCAGGGAAAGCAACCAGGTAAATTTAACAATCCAGGTTTGGGCCTGAATCTGCATGTGAGCTGACGAAGAGTGGATGAACCTATTCCTCATCAGCAGCTACCTAAGTAGAGAGAAGGGACTTATGGGAGAGATGTTATGAAACTATAAGACTTGGCAACTGATTGGATTTATGGAGTGAATACAAGTAAAGAGTATAGGATGAAACCTACTTTGGGAGCCTAGGTGACTAGGAATATGATGGTACTCTTAACAATAGGAAAGTTTAGAAAAGGGAGGATTTGGGGGAGAAAGATAATGTGATTTGTAGTGCACATGCTATTTTATCTTGGCGGTTCTGACTCTAACCACATTTACCATTTCACAAGTGATTAAAAAATATAGACTACACTTTCATAATTTGTTTATGAAATAACGTGATTTGGAAAAACACAATGCCATTTTACAGGCTATTTTTAAACAAGGTGTCTTGTCCATACATTAAAATCATTTCAGATTCCTTAAAAGATGTCACAAATAACTGTGTTTTTAACCTCCAACCATAACCAACATCAAGCAAAAAGCATAAAGCAGGGAGATATATATATTAAACAAAAATGCCTATAATTGTGATGGGGGAGATCCTGCATGGAGTCCAAGTTGAAAGAGATTCCCTGTGGATAGTCCTGATACTCCTACTTACAGAAGAAATTGTGATGATTGCATCAAATCCCAAAATACTACAGAAACTCTTGGAAAAAAGAATCACTCAAAAGAGTCTGACCTGATCAGCAGACACTCCAGAAAGACCAAGAAGATAAAACTGTCTATGGCCCAGATTACAAAGAAGCACCTGAATGGGCAACCTAGGGAGATTGTCCATTAGTAGATGCATATGTACGTATGTATGTATGTATGTATGTACATATGTGTGTTGAGAGAAATTATTTCACTCTGGGATTAATAACTAATTACTGTATTTAGACCAAGGTTTTTCCCCTTTTCTACTCCCTCATCCAGAAATCAAGAGGTGTGGGAAATCTTTTTAAAAGACTTACCCAGCCAGGATGGCAGAGATCTAATCAAAGACAGTAAAAGAAATTCTAAGTATAGGCTAATGGATGGATTCCTCCTCATTTTGTTTACTCAGACAGGTCTGGGAAAATGTGGATTCTTCCTTTGGAGAGAGGTGATATGGAAATTGCCATCTCTTTGACCAAGATTTGAGTGACCCAAGTCACATACCCCAAGACCCTCATTGTAATATAGGCCATCCTCTCATCGTAATATTCATTCTCTCATTAACTGTTAACCCATCAGAGTTGCTTGTCACCCTCAGGAACAACTACTCTTTGAAAGGTATATAAACTGTGAGCCCATCGTCATAAGGGGACTTTGGTCTAAGAGAGATGGCCAAATGACCATCCTTTTATTAAATTACCCAGGAATTATGTCTCTCAGAACTTTTTAAAAATACCACAGGATGTATATGTAGTGCAAATAACACATTATTAGGTCTGGAGCTGAACAGGAGGAAGACAGATCGAACTGTCTTTGGGAAACTGCAAAACTCCTTTAAGTCTCCAAGCTTTTCATAAAAGCAAAAGTCTATCTTTTTATATCAATAGTCTATCACATGTTGCCATACCACAGCATAACATGAACTACAACTGTCTCTAGAAAATTAAAAATAAGCATCATACAGAGGACAATGGAAAGTCAAATGGTGGGTGTGAGGAAGTTGCAACATATAATATGGGGAACACTGAAAAATATCAGGATTAAAAGACAGCATCATGGGAAGAGATGATGGCCTGGTCACATTGTGAGGGTGAGGAATGATTGGCAGAGTAATCCAATGACACTACCCTTGTGATGTCAGGAAAAATTGAGGAAGATCTGTAAAATGTTGAAAGAACCCCCTGGTTCAAATGCATTGAAATCTGCATAGTTGGAGGGAACTTTCAAAATGATGAAATCACAGATCCATTTGAGTATATAGCCCACTATCTACTCTGGCCTTATATCGAAATTGAATTAGACATCCATTTAGATCTCATAAATATTTTCTTTTTCTGTTCTTGAAGGAAGAACACAACATTAGAGAGACTTTAGAGCCCACCCAATTTCAGTCCCCTCATTTAACAGTTAAGGAAATTAGTGACTAAAGAGGTAAATAAATGGCTTATTCAAGATCACACAGTTTAATCAATGACAAAGTCAAGACTAGAATCCATATCTCATGACTCCCAGAGTCCAGTGCTCTTTTCACTATACCACAGGATATAATCACTCTATTTACAAGCCTTCCTTTTTTTTTAAGTCGTCCAAATCACCTATGTGACTTGTTATATATTTTAAACCTTTAAAAAAGCAGCCCAGCAATGGATTGATAGTCTACTAACGTCCTCATCTGAAGCCTCACCATGGCACAGAAGTGCCTTTGGGTTCTCAATGGCATACTACAGAAGAATGAACTTTGAAAGGCCATACAAAGAAGAATGAACTTTGAAAGGCCATACAAAGATAGAAAGCCTCCAGGTACAGGCCCAGCAACCAACTATATGACTACTGACCAGGGGATTAGCCTTGACACCTTGAGAAAGACTAATCACCAAGTTGACTTCAGAATAATAAATTTTCCACCTACAGAGATTCATAAGGGACAACTAAGTCATAGATCAGCCATGATCTACAGCAGAAGAATGAATTCTCAAAGTAAAAATAGCACTCAGCAAATAAGCTGTGTCAAGGACTGAGATATGAGATGACTCCATGAAGAAAGAAAAGTCATCAGGGTTCTTCAGTACTATGTCTGAGAACTGTTTTGAAAGCACATAGCCCCTACATGTGTGCCTTACCACATGTACTTACCACCTTACCACCAATGTACTCTGTGCCTACTCTTCTCACAGATGCTGTGTGTATTTTTTGGAGATTGTGATCCTAGTATATGGGGTAGCTGTTATTTTTACTATATCATCCTAATAAAAGCCTTTGCTAAGAGCTAAATGTTTAGCAGCATCCCTGATAAGGGGAAATATACCAATGGGGATTTGAGAGCTACAGGAATAGGAATGAATATCCAAAGGGGTACCCTCCCTACTTAAAACTTAAGTAGCAGATAACCTCTCTGTTAACCAACCTATCAGTGAAATTGCAAAATGAGAGAATATCCCAGGTGAATTACACACAGCACAAAAGTACACCTGATTATAGGGTCAGAACTCTCTCCACTAAAATCCTACTGCAATGTCTCATTTTGGGTTCTTGAAGGCTATTAAAGCAAGAACTGATTAAGGTGAGAAAACAGGATAAAAGTTAGAAGACAGGGGAAAGAAGAAGAAGGTTAAAGAGGATATGTTTGCACGTGTGAAAAAGATTACCTGAGATAGAATTAACTAAGCTGATAATGGTAAAAGACCAGGTTACAGCATGGTTTATGTATGATGGCCTTATTCAGGAAGAAAGAAAGTGGTTGGGGGACACATTACGTCTCTGTGAATGTTTTCGGAAGAAGCAGTACGGAGAAGTGATGTTCATAGGTACAGTATGGTCATAATTTGTGTGTCAGTACTCAGGGAATACCTGTGTTTACACAAAGCCACGCTCAACCCTTTCAATGCCTAGGCACCAAACCTTTCCCAAATTAATGTTGCTAGCAATTATGAAGGCTCTGGTTGAGAGACACTGCAGGGTTGAAACAAATAAATCTGCAAGGCAGATAATCAGGAGTAAAAAAAAAAAGTCATCTATGATCAGATTATTGATTTTCTTACTTTGAATTTTTGGAATATCTCTTATTTAAACATCTGTTCATGTTTTCACTACTTGTTTATATTCACTTAAATACAGTATTAGTCCAATGGAAGCATTAAAGGAAAAAAGTTTGAGGTTATCTCCTTGTATAATAGAGCTGGTAAGGTTGTACTATCAGCAAAATCTAAAAAAAAAAAAAAAAACACAGGTTCTCTGCTAATCTCTAAAAAAAAAGATATAAAACAAACAGAGAAAAGAGAAAGTTTAATACAGAATAAAAGAAGGGAAAGATAGAAACCATATAATATAGTTCCTCTTGAGTTGGGTTCAAACAAAATAAGAAATTAACAAAGTAAATTCTATGATTCAAAAACAAACCATATTCAAATTAAGGGGGAAAATACATTCCAAAATTATATTTTTTAAATTATTTGCTATTTTGGATTATCAATGACATTATTTCCCCCCTTGGTACAGATAGTTAAAGTGTGATTTTACTTTAAATTCATCCTTCAGGCTATAAATATTTCTTGATCACTTATTATGTTCAAGGAATTGTATTAGCAGATAAAGGGAATACAAAGAGACATAAAATACAATCTTATAAGCTTCCAGTATAATAAAAGAGATAAGTAATATACAAATTATTACAATATAAGTTAAAATACTGATTGTCACATGAGTAGGATTCCTTTACTTTAGTTTAACATTGCCATGGCTTTTTTCAAAATACAACTACACAAAAGTAAGGCCTTTAAAGTTTTTGAGACAAACTCTTAAAGAATTTAATATACTGTAACATACATCATACAAAGAGTATTAAGAATGTAATGGAGCCAGAATATATTTGCATTAAATGTCTATGATAAAAATCTGACATCCAAAATCTAAAGGGAACTAACTAACACAAATAGTCAAAGATTTTAAAGGAATACTTTTTGAAAGCAACATAAACACACTGAAAAAAGTTTTCAATATCAATAATCAACAGAGAAACGCAAATGAACACAACTCAGTTATTGTCCTATACTCATCAATTGGAAGAGGATAAAAGATGAAAATTTTGAGTCACTTATTCTACTATTTATTTATTCTACTAGTCTACTTATTATAGTATAAAGAAATTTTCAAAAGCAGAAAATTCCTATCTAATTTTTAAAAGTTCATAGCAGCACAATTTGTAATAGTAATAGACTATAATGGAATATTATTGCAGTTATGGAACAATGGCTAAAAAGAATTCTAAGAAATGTTCAAAGACATGAAGCAATGCAGAGGAAAGAAAGAACATACATGCTGACTACAACTGTCAATGGAGGCAAAATTCAGATACTACCTTGATAAGGTTAAAGGACGTAGCCTCTCTTTCTTCTAAGAGATATTAAATAATAAAACTAAATAGTTATATATGAAACCATTTGTAATTCTCTTCTGTGTTGCTCAAATGTTTTCAAGGATTATGCTTTTTTATTTTAAGATAAATTTATTAATCAAAATATCATTAAAACAGAATGAAACTTCTATAAAATATAAAATCTTCTATGGGTAGAATTTTCATATGGCAAGAGGGAGGACAGTATAACAGGTGGAGAAAATTGGGCAGAGCATAAGGCATGTTTGAGAAAAAATGAAAAGGGAAATTTAGCTGAAGTAAATATTTCATGTAGGAAAGTAGTAATAGATACATATGTTAAAAGTAAGTAGGGGGTCATATTATAGCAGACCTTGAATGTCAGATTAATGATAATAATAGCTAATAACAGCTAGCATTTATGTACTGTTGTAAGGTTTACAAAGCACCGTACCAATGTAATCTCATTTGATCCTCACAACAAACCTAGGAAGTAGGTGCTATTATTATCCCCACTTTACAGATGAGGAAACTGAGGCAGACAGAGGTTAGCTGACTTGCCCAGTGTCATACAGTGCTCATAGCAAGTTTCTGGGGCCAAATTTGAACCCACGTCTTCCCGAGTCCAAGTTCAAAGCCACATCCACTGCACCACTTAGCTGCCTCTTTGAGAAGATTAAGAAATTTGGATTCTGTCCTACAGGGAAAGGAAAACAACTAAAGGCTTTTTAGTAAAAGAATAAGATGATGAAGCAGTGACATAAAAAAATATTAATCTTCTAGCAGCATACAGGATGAAGAAGGAATAACCTGGAGCACAGAGAATACAGAAGCTAATGAAAGTCAATGACATCTAGCCTTCCTCCCTGAAAACTCATTCCACACATGGCCAACAGATTATCTTGCTAAATCAAAGTTCTGATTGTGTCACACTATTTCTAAAAATGTTCCAGGTGATCTCCACTGTCTACCAAATTAAGTCCTAGTTCCTTTGTCTGGTATTCAAGGTCCACTACAATGTGACCACCACTGCTCCCTTTAACATTCACTATACTCCAGTCAGATAGAACTATTTATCATTCCCTAAATATACCTTGGGTTTTCCCTTAACCTTTGAACCTTTGTTTATCCCATTCTTTCACCCCATGACGCCTTCTCCCTTCTATCTCCACTAATGGAAATTCTACACATAATCAATCTTCTATCAATAGCACTTTCATAGCATTGATTATATGTTGCATTATTTGTGTATATATATATCTTTTACAGACTTTAAGGGTAAGTATAGTTTCATTTTTTATCTTTGACTCTTCAGTGTCTTACACAAATAAATATTTGTTAAATTAAACTAAATGGTTTATTATTAATGAATCTATCTCTAATAAAAATCACTACAAAAACTGGCATTACTGGTAATCTTGACTTAAACCTTTTAGCAGATTATACGTACCACTTCAGAAAAATGCTGGAAGGCATTAAAACTGATTCCACTAATACTCTACTTTAATGAACAAAACCCCAAAAGATAAGACCATAGCGCAAACCTTCAGAAATAAAAGTCTTACATGCTGAGGTTCATCTTCGGCTGACATTGCATTGTTTACACACAAGGCTTCTAAAAATTTTTGTTTCAGGATGATATAGCGAAACCTGTAAATAAATAAAGTATGACACACTAAAAATCATTAAAAACGACCCTGAAGAACATCTACCTGCTAATTCCAAATCTGAAAAAAGGAACTAGTTCCTAAAGTTATGGAAGTCATGTTTTTTAAAAAATACAGTAATGATTTCCTTAAAAAGACTTTTATTTAAAGGATAGGTTTTCAACCAAATACCTGATAAGTAAAATGTGCCTAAAACTTACTGAATATAATTTAGATCCTCTACATTTCTGTTTATACTCAAGCCCTAATCAGTTGTTGCAGTGATTTTTGCTATTGTTAACACCACACTCAAGGGACAGCCCTCTTAATTTCCAAAATAAACTCTGAATAAAAAATTTCCCTATAAAATGTCAAGCAACATAAAATATATCATAAATACCTACATATGAGTTTAAAAAAAAACATTGTTTTTTCTTAATTATAAGCATGAGCAAGGTCTGATAGGGACCTATTTTATCAAGAGATGGCAGTGCTTCTAAGAGGCAATGAGACAATGACTTTTCAGAAAAATAAGCATGAACTTGGGGAAGCAATCATTAAAAATTGCAACTTTTAACATATGGCAGAATTTGAAAAGGACATTTGTCTCACAAGAAAATTTCGGAGCAGCTAGGTGGAGCAGTGAATGGAACACTGGCCCTGGAGTCAGAAGGACCTAAGTTCAAATCTGGCCTCAGACACATAACACTCACTAGCTGTGTGACTCTGGGTAAGTCACTTATCCCCAATTGCCTTACCAAAAGAGAATAAAAAGAAAGAAAGAAAAAAAAAAGAAAATTTCAAGTTTTTTAAATAACACTTTAAAGGAAAAAAAGATTTTCTATTTATTTTCTTTTCCAGAGTTATATACTCTTACTTGTCCTCTCTCCCAGATTTTTCCTTCAGTTAAAGAAGTACTCTCAAGAGATGTCAATAGCTGACAAAAAATAAAAACAAAACAGTATTGCTATTGCTTTTAAAATTGGTATTGCAGGCCTCTAACCTTGGTCTCTAGAGATAAGGAATCTTCTTATCAAATGCTGCCACCATGAGATGCTTATAGCTCCAAGTATTATGCTTCTTTCCCTTACCCATTTCAAACCATCTTGGTTTAAGCAAGGCTATTTGAATTTACAAAGGGGAAAAGTATAATCTCAGAAATAATAGCTATTTAATTACAAGTAATCAAAAACATATAAAAAGGTATGTTTAGTGTAGATTATACGGTTCTATTACTTTATTATCTAGCACGAAACCCCCACGTTGAGTCCTCTGCCAACCTGTCTCCAACTCAAAATAATACCCCAAGTGTCCTGTTCCCATCCCTGTTCTTCTAATAGCCTTCTTACCCTATATAAGTCAAGTTCTTTTTTCCTCTTTATCTATTTGTCTCTTATTAAAAAACTGCCAATAGGCTAGATCACCTCCAACCTTGAGCAAATAATAATCCAATCCCTTTGTCACCTATCCCTTTCAAACACAGTATTGCAACAAGTCATTAAGATCATTCATTAATCCTTTTACTCCTCATTTTTATGGGGATTATTTTGTTCAAATGATTTCTCCCACATAACCCAATTCAAATAAAATGAACCCACAGCTCTATCCCTATCTCACTAAAGCTAGTGACCTGCCCCTTCCTACAAAGGAAGGTATTACATAATTCAGGATAAAACTTTATAGCTGACCAGTCTATAATCCCAAAATCATACTACTATCCATCCTACTCAAGGTCAGAAAAACTACTTTCCCCTTTATTTACAAGATAGTATATGGATAATATTTACTCTCACATGATGATGACCTGGCTCAACTATCCTCCTCTCAACCAAGCCCCCTTTTGGGACTATGTGATTGAGCTTATGCCTAGGCATTTCACTGCTACCCTATGAAAGCGCTAAGGAGTGTCATCAGGCAATCACAACGTCATGAGACTTATATGAAAACCACGTTTGTTTAACAAGAGAAATGAACGTGCATGTGGAACCCAAAAGGTTCCCGGTCTTTACAAAAGTTTACATTTTTATAATAGCGGGATGATATAACAGGGGTATGATATGGAAGGAGAAATGGTGCAGCAAAAAGGTGGGAAAAAAGACAACACCACTCCCCATGGGAAGGAGCAAGGTGATGGCAAAAGCTTTACTCTGGTCCCCTGGGAACTGGTAGACGATGAAGATAGGAGGGTCTGCTTATCTGCAAAGGACTTCAGCCTAGCACAAACTAGCTGGCCCCTGTCTTGCCGCCTAAGGGCACACAGGGAGTCCAGCTTGGGAAGGAACAAGAGATTATGTCAGCTCAGGGGGACCTTCACCCTTGACACATTCAGGGCCTCCTGCACGCTCCGGGTTCATTGTTTCTTGAAAATATGGCAACTCAAAAAGATAAGTTCAAGGGACCCCTTATAACAGCCCTTAACAGGAAAGAGAATAATCTTCCTCTCTCAGAAGACATTTCCTAAAACAGATTTACAACAGTCAACTGAGAAGTGAAAATAAGAAATGAATGCTCTTCTATGATTCAAATAAAACAATATTTTAATAAACTAAGTAACATTCCATAAGCTATTTTGGAATAAAAGAACAATAGCTATTCTAGATTAGCACTATGAAATAAGCAGTCTTTTTAGATAGGAACATCATTGATTAAACATTTTTATGTGCACAGTACAAAACCAGGTAAAATATTATTTTAAAATAGGCATGATATTTGTCCTCTAAGAATATTCAAACTCAAAAAATAATACGACTTTTTAGAATAAGCCTGACCCTATTTCGGAGAGGGAAGGGGGAGCAGAAGGAGGAACAGATGGTTTAAGGAGGCTAAACAATTAGCCAAGATCAAATGTAAAACTTTAAATGAAATCTTACCTTTTTGTGTCAAATTTTTCCATACATTCTAGGGGTTGAATGAATTGAAGAACTTCATCCCATTGTCCATCAAGGATTAGCTGTCTACATGAATTTTTTAAAAAAATTAAACACCCACATATTTATCTTAGCAATCAACATTTATAAATTTTACTTGCAATATTTAAAAATAGGAAAGGTGACAAGATGGCTTTATGAAGTTAATACTCTGCTAAGCCAGATAATAAGATGGGCATTTCTTTTGCTACAAGATATTGAAGTAAAACCTAAGTCTTTTCACAATAATTTTTAAATGTGGGCACTTCCAAAAAATCATAAACTATGGAAATATTAATTCTTACTAATAATCCATTAGTAATAGCTGCTTCCAATATACTTACTATGTTCTTAGTCATTTGCACTTCTTTTATGGATTTATGTATTATTTTGTATTATAATTATTATCTGTGTATGTCATATCCCTCAGGTAGAATCTAAACTCCATGAAGGCAGGAACCATGTTTCATCTAAACTTTATACGTCATCCATATCTAATGATGTTCTGACAAAGCAGGCATTTAATAAATGCTTTGAACTGAATTAGAATATATTTAAGTATCAGATAATTCCTGCTTGTTCTGTGCATCTGTGCCCAATTGTACACAAAAACTATATCCAGATGTCCTATGCTTGACCCAGCCAGAGGACATGGGAGACAGCTGGCAGCCTGTCCCCACTTACAAACAGATCCCCTTCAACTGAGGTCAACCTCTGTCATAAAGATGCCCCAACTGAGATTCAGTGCTAAAGACTTACCACAGGGTGCATTAGTACTGGGTTGTTCAGTTAATACCTCAATTCAGAGAAGCACATAAACAATTATTATCTTGACATCTACAGAGGAGGCAATTGCTGGGCCACATTTTAAGATACATGTGAGCCTAAACCTCTAAAAGGATAATCTTATTTTCTGCCAACCCAACAATTCTGTGAAACACATTCTCTTATTTATTTGAGACTTGCAATAGTCTATCCTTCTAAACCTTTGACCTATGTATTTCTGACACCTATTCACTTAGATGCTGGCAAAGGCTTCCCAGGGATTTAAGTCTCTTCATCTTCCTAAATCTGGGTGGGTACATTGTTTGAGCATGGGTGCTTTACAGGAAAAGGACCCCACTGTTACTGATTGCATAGGCAAAAGTTACTGAACTGCACCTTTAACTATCCTCCCTGGGCTTAGGCAATGTTAAGTAGATGCTATCAAATATACGAAAATACAAATAAATCTTTGTAAATATTTTGCTAACATAATAAAGCTTTTTAAAGTACTATTTATTCCTCAGGAAGGACAATCCATGGCCACGTCTTTTTGAGCTACAAAGCACCATGTATTTTTTAATCGAATCTCTTAAAACAGCTGATTAGGAACTTCCGATCTTTGAGATTAAGGAAAATGAGATCAACAGAGGTTAAGTAACTTTCCCAATCAGGATGTATACAAAGGAGAAAGTACATTTTAATGTAGAATTATGAACTCTCTTTTTACATTCTACTCAAGACAGACTTATTTTTGATCTGAAGATGACTCCAGTTTCTTGGTTGTGTAGCTCTGCTGTTCTTCCAAAGCTACAGTAAAATTAACAATTTGGCTTTTAAAAATAACACCTGGACTTCATGATTACTAGAGATATCTTTCCCTTTAGTTCCATAACAAATACCATTAGATATAGTTTACATAGATTGTCCACCTCCTGGCTAAAGGATCAAATGAGATAATGTAGGTAAAAGCATTTTGCTCTCACTCAACTCAAATGGCTTTGTGATAACAATTTGAACATTCCCTCCATTGCACATTGCAGTCCATCCTTGTCTTATGCCTCTGGTCCAAGTGCTCCTGTTGAGTTTACAAAACTTAAAATGCCCTCTAAATGTTGGTTGGTATCATCTGTTATCCTCGAGGAATGAATCATCTTCAATAGCAAAGTTTTCTCCATTAGAGAAAACCATTTTGGATAAAAATCTTTATAAAATATATTGTAATCTTACATGCCTTAGAAAAAATATAACTTTTCTTCCATGACTTGAGGTCATTAGGAATATCAGCTATTGTACTGTATTACAATAAAATGATCTCCAAAAGGCCTATGGAAGCCATCTATTAAACACCAACAAATAGTAACATAGTAAAAATTTTACTGATAGGCATGCATGTATCCTTCAATAGTACCTACCATAACATGAGAAAATAAGCAGCATAGTACAAGAAGAAAGAACACACCAGATTTCAACTTAAGTTTAAGTTTCATCTCTAGTTTATTGTTATATGGGGCAACAACTGTAAACTTTAATTCTCTAAATCTTAAATTTCCTCATCTGTAAAATAAGAGAGTTAAATTACCTCTAAGGCCCCTTCTGCATTTAACATTCTATGACAATGAATTAAATGCCTCATGCCTATAAATTTATTAATTCTTAAAATATTTCTTTGATGAAGATTAAAATCTGAGAGATTAATAAAGACATACCTCAGAAAAAGCATATCATCTGAAAACAGGCCATTTATGACTCCACTTTCCTTCTCAAGAGCCAACATACTGATGTGAAGTTTCTTTGAGTTCAGAAAGTCTAAGATTAACTTGATAATTTCGACCTCTTTCACATTTACTGTTTCTTCAGCAGTCATTGTTGATAGCCTATATAACAAAAAGAAAATTAGAGACAAAATATTGATCCTATTATTTTACTTCTAAATTACACTGTACAGAAACTATACTAACAAAATTACTTGAGATTTTACAGTACAACTTTTAAAAGTTATTTTAAACTATCAAATTATCCAAATTAAAGAATTATAAAAAAATTGCCTACCCAACCATTTATTGGCTACATGAATTAAATTAAGTATACGGCCCTCTATGAGTTTATAATCTAAATTATAATCCTTTATTTAAGGACCAAACTAGGTTGAAGTCAGGTCAGACATGTAAGGTTTGAAATGGCGGTGGGACTTTAACTGAATTGTCCTGTAGACTACTTACACGCAGGTCTGGAGCTTGGGAGTTGAGATGGAAATAAAGATGTACAATCTGAGGTCAGACAAATATTGCCAATGGGAAGTATCAAAGAATTTTTTTTTTTACTTGAATTCCTCTTTGATGGCCATAGGTGAAATTGGTTGAAAAGTATGTTGAAAACTATGATTTTGGAGTTGAGAATAAAAGAGGCCAAAACCGTGTATAAATACACAGAAATTCTTACTTTTATATATCATGAATATTTTATTTAGGAAAAGTATCAGAAGGTACAAGAAATGGAAAGCCCTGAATAACATTACATAAAAATGAAGTTGATTATATTTTAACAGAAACAACTACTGATAAATAAAGATTAGAATGAATAGAGTGGCCCCTAATTTCCTTCAACCCTCATTTTGTCCAGTCCAGCCCAGATCTGGGATCTGTCTGAGTTTTGTGACCAAAGCCAGGCCAGGATCTCTTGCGTGGTCATGCTTCTGACTCTTGAGGTGAGAATACTGGGGTGGGTTTGCAGAGAGCTGCCAGCATCTCTAGCCTCTGCACCTCCCTAATAGGACATCACCCCATAATGTCATTGGTCCTCTTCAAAAAGGAAGGACAAACAAGGCCAGTAACTGCTTCCTAACTCTTCCCCTCCTCTAGCCCAGTGCTTAAGGACAGTAGGAGTTCTATTTTGTACAAATGTGACTTTCCAATTGTCAACTCAATAAATTCTATAAAATGGATTAATTTTTTTTATTAGGGATTTATTAAGTTCCTACTACTACATGCCAGGCACTGTGCTAGGCACTAAGGATATAAAAACAAAAAATAAAACAATTTTGGCTCTCAAGAAGCTTAAATTCTATTGGAGAGACAACTTGTAAATTTATTTGTATGTGTATAAATATGTATATATTAAATAAATAAAAAAGGAGGGCAGCACTAGCAATGTGAGGGCTAAAACAAAAGATTTTATGTAGGAGGTGGCATTTGGCCTGAGTCTTGAAGGAAGTGGGGGGAATGTATGAGGTAGAGGTGAGAAGGAAATGTAAGCAGAGACAGGAGACAGAATACTCATATATAGGGAATAGAGAGAAGGCCAGTTTGGCTGGAATGCAGCATGAGACAAGGAGAATAACATATAAAGAAGCTAGATAGATAGGTTAGGGCCAGGTTGCAAAGGGCTATGAAAGCCAAACAGAGCTTACTTAGAAGCAAGAGAGAGCCACAGAAGGTTAAGAAGTGGAGTGATATGGTTAGATCTGCCCTTAAGGAAAATCACTACAATCTCTCCGTTGTGTCCCATTCCCTTCACTCCCACAGCTACCACCCTAGTTCAGGCCATAATCATATCTCATCTAGACTTCTTACTGGCCTCCCTGCCTCAAGTCTCTTCTCCAATCCATCCTCTATATTGTGGCCAGATTTTCCCAAAGGGTAGGTCTGACTATTTCATCTTCCAATTCAGTAACTATAATGGTGGCTGTCTAATACCTCCAAGATAAGACATAAAGTCTTTTATTTGTCACTTAAAGATCTTCAAAATCTAACCCACGGCTACCTTTCCAGTCTTCTCACATTTTACCTCTTTAACCGCCCCACTCCCCTCTTCGAACCAGCTACAATGGCCTACTTGCTCCTCAAACACCACACTCTACCTCTTGCCTCCATGCCTTTACATTGGCTGAGAGTCCCCTGTTCCTTGAATGCTCTCCTTTTCACCGAGGCCTCTCAGTTTCTCTGACGTCTTCAAGACTAAACTCAAATCCCATCTTTTCTAGGGGAATGTTCCCAGTCCCAGTCCTCCTAGCTGCTAGGGTGTGACCTGTGAGATTATTTACAATCTAAAACACACACACCCCGCTAGTTATTTACATGGTGTCTCCTCCAACAGAATTCAAGTTATTTTGATGGCAGGGACTGTTTTTGTCTTTCTTTGTATCTCCAGAACTTAGCACATGCCTGGCTCATGGTAAGTACTTAAAAAATGCTTGCTGATTGACTGGAGGACAGTTTGGTGTTGGAAGAGACTTGGCCATTAGGAGGATATCTGTTTGAGAGATGATGAGGTCCTGAACTAAGAGGCTGGATGTGAGCACTATGGTGGAACTGACAAGACTTAGCAACTGAGTGGATAATTCAGGTGAAGGAAAGTGAGCTGAGAATAACACAAATTGAGAAAGAGAAGTTGAATAAATATTTATTATTAAGTATCTACTATGTGCTAGGCACTATACCAAACACTTTACAAATATTATCTCATTTGATCCTCACAATGTTTTTCAGAAGTAGGTGCTAGGTAAGGAAACTGAGACAGACAAAGGTTAAGAGACTTGCCCAGGGTCACACAGTGGATGTAAACTAAGGTTTTCCTTACTCCAGGCCCAGCGCTCTCTCTACTGTGCCACCTAGCTGCCCCTCGGCAGAAGCTGTTTAGTTTTTGTGTATCCCCAGTACCTAGCATAGCACCTTGCCCTTAGCAGGTATTTAATTAATGTTTGATGAAGTGAATTATTACTGATGAATTAATGAAATAATCATTAAGTTACAATATACATAGTAACCAAAAAATGAAGTGCTCTGAAAAGGAGCATATTTAATGATAATGTAATTGGTAATATTACATCTATTTCTATAATCCTGCAATGGTGAGGGAGGGTCCCCCAGTCACCATATCTTGTTGTGACCAACAAGATAGAGAAATTGATATTTTCTTTTATCTTCATAACCTCTCAAACCTCTTAACAACAGACATTATATGCAAGAGATAAAACAATTTCAGCTGTCTCCACAGTCTAGATTTAAACGCCAAGAACCTTAATGAGATAACAATTCAATAAGTGGTAGAAAAGACTAATTCCTAACCCAGGTCTGCACAACGTATGGCCCACGGGCTGCTTGTGGCCTGCCAAAGGATTTCGGGTGGCCCACAAAAAATTCAGAGGATGTAAAAGAAAGTAAAAATGTATCAAGTGCTTTGTCCATGCCCACTTGTCCACAAGTCACTACTATGCCTGTCATGTAACTTGCCAGGTGGGTTGCCACTGTGCACTCTGTTTGTCACATGACCTGTGAACAACCAACCATTGTAATTCTGTCTCTAGTTTGAGAGGAGCAAGAGTGGCATCTTTTTGCTATGTTTTCGGTCGTTACTAAATGTAAACAGTAAGAAAACCTGAAAAATGTACTAAAACTTGTACCTCTTAGCAAAGTAATTTTTTTTAACATTAATGTGATTTCATGATAAATAAAAAATTTAAGTAATTAAGTATAATTAATTGATAGTAATTGAAATTTCCTTTTTTAAAAATATGGTTTATTTGCAAAATAGTTTAACCATTAATTATACCTTTAGAGCCACTAAAAATCTATCTGTGACCCAAAGAGGTTTAGCCTATTTTAATTTTGCCCCCTACCTACTGCCAAGTCATGTAGGTCTGTCCTAACCCCTAACCCAGTCATATCCTCTCTCCAACTGCCCACCAAGTTCTGGCAGTGTATGTGGTTATGTGGCACTCCACTAAGCATAAGGGAAAGAGCCCAGCATCAGGCTGAGGCCAATTCTGATACCCCAAAAAATCACCTAGGGCAGACTGAGGCTCGTGAAACATGAACAGCCCAGTGTTCAAGGAGGCTGAGAGAACTTTTAGATCCAGCCCTTAGGGAAACAACCATCAAAGGGTGAGAAGTAAAAAAGTGAGTAGGGGAATATAAGGGGAAAAGACTGAAATCACCAAAAGTTCTCAGGAGAAAGAAAACTCCATTAAAGACCTTGAGCATAAGTAGATAAAACAACAGGGAAGCTATTAATAACAGAAGGGAATATGGCCTCCAGATCAACTTAAAGAATCCAGACATCTATTAATAAATATTTTAAGACAAAGGAAAATGAATCAACACCTGATGATTCAGAGAATCCTACAGATTCCCAAGAGAGCATGGAACCACAGAATAATATTCCTCAATAGTTTAAAAGAGAAATAAGAATTGTGAAAGCAGTAATTTCTATCAGACAAAACAAAAATAATAGGCAGACCAGAAAAACTTAAATCCAGGGTAGCAAATCTCACCAAACAAAAGAGAACTAAATTGTAAATACATTGAAATGAAGGTTAATCTGGAAGTATATAAACAGAAAACAATAACATTAAAAGAAAATATGATCTCTGTGGAAGCAAAACATAACGACCTCAAAGACAAGATGTGTAGACATAACTTAAGGATTACAGGCCTCCCAGAAAGAACATCATAGGCCAAAAAATCTGGATATCATAATGCAAGAAATAACACAAAAGAACACCCCAGAACTTCTGAACACAAAAAACAAAGTGTCATTCAAAAGAATCCACAGATTGCTTCTATTTGTAAAAAAAAAAAAACTGTTACAAACTCCAAGCAAGAAGTGATTAAATTTATTAATTCCAATGGCAAACAACAAATTATGCAAGCAACCAGGAAAAAGACCTTCAAATAAAATGGAAATATGAATAACACAAAACTATTCTACACCTACCAGAAAACACAGAAGAGAATGAAACAATATATTCTGAAGAGCAACTGGGCTCAAAATGCAACCCTACAAACCTAAACCTAAATGAAAAAAGATGGATGTTGAAGTATTCCTAAAAAGAAAGCCAGACCTGAACAAATTATTAGCTTTTCAAATACCCCAGACA